TATGTCTCTGGGAGTAAAAATATTTGAGCTGAATTGCTGACCCTGCAAAATAATTAGAAGGTGTATAAACAGCACAGAATATTAAATGTGTTAACAGAGCCTCGGTTCGTGCTGGGCGTATTAATAAATTTCCTCTACCCCCCCCCCCCCCCCCCCCCCCCTTCCCGCTGCCGCTGTCCCGCTGTCCCGCATTTCGCTTGCCAGAAAAGTGGTTACCGAAGTAACCTAGGGTTTAACACCCTAGGTTTACCGAAGTTAAACCTAGGGTGTTTAAAAAAAAATAATAACAAACGGGAAGCGGAGCAAGTGCGCGGCCTTATAACGCGCTTTTCTTGCGTGAATGCAACTGTGCACGTGAAAACAAAAGCCATTATAAGTTATATGAGAGCCCCACTCTTTGGGTCCAAATTACTCCAGGGATCCCCATACAGCTTGGGGCTTCGCACTACCCGCGCACAAAGTTCTGTGCATGTGCAGTGCGACACCCCAAGCTGCTCGGGACGCTCCGGGCACCTATATCGTTTTGATAGTACGGTAAGCTTTCGTAACCCCCCGGGCCCCCTCCACACACGCACACACACACGCGCGAGCGCGCCCTAGGGTGCCTACATGGCGGGAACATGTAGGCACCCTAGCGCGCCCCATTATCATTACCACCACCCATAGGCGTAGACTACGGGGGAACATCGGGGCTCGTGCCCCCCCTCCCCCCTGGCCAGATCCGGGGAGGGGGGGGGGGGTGGCATAGACACCCCCCCCCCCCCCCTTTTTGGGTCATGACCCTTACCGAGACGCTGTTTACGTGCCCTGTAACGAGCTTCTAGTAGTGGCATCTAAACAAAATAACGCACACAGCGACGGGCAAAGACGATATACAGGGTGTCACAAAAGAAAATGTACAGGGTTTTTATTTCCGCAAAAATAAACTAGGCATCGCCGAACGCTCATTCTCCGCCCAAAGGTAGCGCTAGAGGTCACAACCTGATGCCAAAGTTTCAGCCCGATCCGAAAACTTAATCAAAAGTTATAAGTGATTTTCTAAAAATTTCAATGGGAAAATGGCGGCCGACGAAGCTTTTGAATACATGGGGCTCTATGAGCACCAGAAACCGAAAGCGGGCAAAAATGAGCTCCATTTTCCTATTGAAATTTTCAGAGAATCACTTATAACTTTTGATTAAGTTATCGGATCGGGCTAAAACTTTGGCATTGTGACGTTTTGAGCCACCTTCGGGCAGAAAATGAGAGTTCGGCTATGCCTAGTTTATTTTTGCAGTAAAAAAAAAACCCTGTAAATTTTCTTTTGTGACACCCTGTACATACGCTGTAAAATGTACCCCCTAAAATAAACTACTGATAACTGCCGGTGTAAAAAAAAAAAATTGCGCCGAAAAGCACCACCCCCCCCCCCCCCCCCCCCCCCCCCGGGAAAATGAAAAGTCTACTCCGCTGCCACTACCGCCTTGCTGGATCGCGCTTGCCACTCCCGCAAGTGAAGCCACCGGACTTCACTCGCTTGGGATACGATTTGCCGTTTTTGCTAGCCTTTGCTGCGGTTTTCCAGCGTGCTGTGGACACGTTTTCTACTCGTTCGTCGTCATTCGCCGAAGAAGTTTTTTGAAGACTCTGTGTATTGTTGAGACTTGCCGTTGTGAACACGTGGAAAATTTTACGAAAGTGCAGTGTCGCAGGAAAAAGGCACAACGCGTCGAAAGGAAGGGCTGGCGGCGTGTTCAAAGCTTCCTTGGTACGCCGAAGTGCCGTGTCTCTGTGCCTTCGCACGCTTGGATACCGACCAAGAATCGACGCCGTGTGGATGTGTTTTGCGAGTGCAATGTGCGTGAAGCCGTATCAAAAGGTACAACTCGTCGAAAACAAGTGTCGCCGGTGTCGCGGCGTGATCAAAGCTTCCTTGGCACGCCGAGTGATGCATCTTTGTGCCTTCGCACGCTTGGATACCGGTCAAGAATTGACGCCGCGCCAAAGTTCTGAACGTGTGTCGCGCGTAGGAGCCTTTAGATCATTTATATATATCGGCCACGGAGTTCTGGATCGTCCAGCTGTTCCGGTGAGTTGCTATCGATAAAAGGGAGAGATCTGCACGTGTTCTTATGTACTATATTAACCATGGCTATGTCCCAAATCTACTCTAATAGATTCCGTGGGAGCACGAATAGGGCAACGTTGTGGAGCCAGGGGGGTTTTTGAAAGCAAAAGTACAAGACGGCGAGAATGAAAATCTTTGAAGCGCGGCCGACATGGTCGTGTGCAATCTGCTGACCAATTACAATTAGGCAAGCCGCGCTCAAACGTCAAGTGCAATTATGTAGGTTGATAATAAGCCAGCACTGATGAGTGATGAGGAGCTGTTGTGCACGGTATTGTGTAAATCGTCTAAGGACGAAAAAAAGACGTACCTTCCCCCCATCTTCCGTCGCTAGTGGACGCTGGATTAAGCTCGTTCCTAAACCGCGAGGGGAAAAGACGCTGATCCAGAGGCACGAACAGCTTCACGCACATTGCACTCGCTAGACACATACACACGGCGTCGGTTCTTGGTCGGTATCCAAGCGTGCGAAGGCACAGAGACACGGCACTTCGGCGTGCCAAGGAAGTTTTGAACACGCCGCCAGCCCTTCCTTTCGACGCGTTGTGCCTTTTTCCTGCGACACTACACTTTCGTAAAATTTTCCACGTGTTCACAACGGCAAGTCTCAACAATGCACAGAGTCTTCAAAAAACTTCTTCGGCGAATGACGACGAACAAGTAGAAAACGTGTCCACAGCTCGCTGGAAAACCGCAGCAAAGGCTAGCGAAAACGGCAAATCGTATCCCAAGCGAGTGAAGTCCGGTGGCTTCACTTGCGCTGCAGCGAACAAGCGGGGAAGCACAAATGGCGCACACCATAGGCAGCCGGCAGTGGCCAGGCGGCGCCACGAGAGTACTGCATTCAGCGCCACAAGCGGAGGCGTCTCTGTTAATGGGGCGGCCAGTTTGCCCGTCAGGCCGTTGCGAGCGGCGGCGACCCCGGTTTCAGCAGTCCCCGTGTGCACCTGCGTGCCATGTCCCTGGTTCTTTTATGCGGTTTTTTAAGACCATCTGGAGTCTTGATAGGCCCAAGTGTTGAGAGAATATTCTAGAGTCGTCATTTGGACACCAGTTTGAGTTGTCTCCACTACCTGTGGCCGCCCGATCGGTCTGTGCTTCGCTCGTCTCCCAGGAAGTGACACAACACAACGAGAAGGAAGCGAATGAATTTATTGTACATCCCAGTTGCCCGGCTTTGAGAGCCGACACAGTCCGGACCCGCCGACCCTAGTTGTCGCCCGTCGTTCAGAGCTCACAGTCGGAGCCCGCGTCCAGGCCTGCAGATCGCCCTTCCCACGCCGGTGCTGCGTAGGCTAGCTCGCTGCGGAACCACTCCGGGATCGTCATGGACTAGGCCAGTATGGTCCGGGTTCGCCGCTTCCGCCGGTCCTGATCCGAACTTCGCTGGTGGAATGCTCCCGGGAATCGCCATGGGCCAGACCAGCCAGGACGGCTCTATCGTTCCTGCCCGGCGGCCCGGCCCCAGCCTCGTGCAGCACGCTCTTCCTCTTTCCTCGCCGGCTGGCCCCCGCTCGCGCCTCGCTCGGCCGTCCTCTCCTGCCGACGCCCACACACACTAGAATAAAATTTGGGCAATTAGAACCAAATTCTGCATGCTACAGAACCGTGCGCACATTGCAAAGCCTGGTGTAAAATCGCGACAGGCAACGAAGTGTACGTGTAAGAAGGATATTTACGCTTCGCACGAGAGTTTTCTAAAGAAAAACTTTAACATCCTGCTTTGTGCACGCCGTCACTTTTGTTACCAGACTCAGCATTAAAATTGGTTGCTGAAACAAACAAAACTTTGTACTACGAAAATCCACTTTTTGAAAACTCGCAGGTTCGGAGGGTTTTGGTTGCGACCACGCGTGCCGAACGGCATTATACTTCGTTTCAGCTTCGGTCCAGACGCAGCCGAAGCTACAAGCGCGAGCTCCGGGCTTTCAGCATCCCTGCCAAGCACGCGCGCTCGTGCAGTGCAAGCATTGTTCTGGGCCACATGCTCGCGCTTGTAGCATCGGCTGCGGGCCGACGGGCCTTTCGCTTGAAGACCTGATCGCCCGATTCTCGACGTCACAGCGAAGCAACGATCGGCCCGATTGCTCCTATCGTATTTCCCTACTGTGGCTGTCAAAGCGACATGCAACTTGTATAAATATGTTATTTTGCGGAGTAGTCCGCAAAATGAGTTCGTCCGACCACTTTCCAAGCCTGCACATAGATTTTCGTTCACTCCCCCCCCCCCCCAACAGTTTCTGTAAAATTCACTTACTTGTTGTGTCGCACTGCAGTAACCCACTTCTGTCGCCGTGTCGCTTCCCAAGATCTCGAAGGGAAGCTGGGGAAGCGGTGAAGTTCGACGCTTGAGTCACCTTCGCGACTGCGGGAGTCTTTCATGCAGCAGTAGCAACGTTTATTTTTGGGGGGGAACTTGAGGAGTAGGCGAGATGTCACAGGAAACCGGTGAGGTTATAGAGACGTGAAGTTGGGACTTACTTTTACGAAAAACGGTTCCAAAAAAAGCTCACGCCAATCCGAAATGCAAAGTTCACACGTGGTTTCTGGAGGCGCCCGCCCGCAGCCCCGCGTAGTCCTGGCCTACCCAGTTTCATTATTTTGCAACCGCTAGATGGCGCAACGTGTAGCACCAAACTGCATTGCAGGTTGCCTATGAGCGCACGATACAAATATACAAAACCAAACTTTTCAGATGGCGCTAGCTCTCACCTGATTCAAATGATGCGATTAGGCCTTCTCCATTCCACGACCTCTAACTCTCGCCCTCGCCAACAGGTGGCTACCGCCCGACAACAACAACCGGGCGGGGAGCACCAAGAAAGGGACGCGTGCGTTGGAGACGTTGAGGTTTGCCGAGGTGTTTTCGTGTCTTCTTTCGCAGCGGGTGTTCTTTTGGACAGTCCCATCTTGTCAAGACAGGAGAAACCCTTCCACCGCCGGGGTTAGAGACCAGAGCCGTCATTCTGTCGAGGCTTCTCCTCCCGCGTCTCTATGATCGAGACAGCGCAGCGGCGATCATCAGCAGCCACTGGAGGATACAGAGAGCGCTCTGTTTCGCTTCATGCCGTCGACGCCAACGGTGCTTCAGGACGTCGGGATGACGACGACTGCTGACAAGAGCGGCGCGAGGAGTCTCCAACTGCCCGATCAGCTGGCCGTCTTCAGGAACCTGAAGAACGCCAAGCGGTTCGCGATCGACATCGGTGAGTCGCTGAACGGTCCCCGGGCGTTGTTCGCCTCAATCGACGATGGAGATTGGCGAGCTTAAAGTTGCACGTAATTAGAGAACAGAGACATACACATAAAACTGTGCAACAGCCGCAACACGCAGTATTTTTTTTTTTTTTTTTTCCAATTCTCTGACGTCGGGGTTGGCGTCTTGCGCGATCCATGGGTCCGTTACTTCTATGCAAATTGCTCCGTTTTTGCGTTTTTTTTTTTTTTTTTTTTTTTTGCTTGTTGTTGTTATGGATGATATGCTGTGCGGATACCTTTACCTGTTACCCGAGCGGTTGGATACCTTCCTCTTTATTTCGATCCACCCGGGCGTCGTAGAGGCGGAGGCGGATACGCACTGTTGCCGTAAGGTGTTGTTGTTGTTGTTTTCTGCGAGAGCCCGTAAATTGTTGCGTGGCGGCGTGTATCGTATTCTCTCTTGCGACCTTTTCAAGGTCCCTCCCATGTCATTGCTCTTTTCGGCGGCGAGGGCTTAAGAGCTTTGGAGCTATTTGTTTTTGTTTTTTTCTTTTCCTGTCTTCTAAGTTTAGAACAGTCACCACCACTACAACGTTTTCTCGCCCTCGCCTCGCTGAACCCCCTTCGTTTGGCCGTGAATGACAGAGAGCCAAGAAGCTCCCTGGCCGACACTTCGCTGCCCGATAAAGGGTCAGTGGCGGCTGATCTCGTGGCCACTCTGCAAATATCAACAAAAGCCCAACCGTTTACTTCCTCGAAAAGCAATCGAAGCCGGTAGTGGCGGGCGGTTCATCCTGCGCCGCTAGCGCCGTCAAATAAACAATACAACGCATAAAATCAACCCCCCCCCCCCTTTTCCCCCTCCAAAAAAAATTAAAAAAACTGCGATTTTTATGTTGTCTTGTTTGGAAACGTCCGCGGGATGCCTTTTTGTGTGTGACTGTCTGTCTGTGACGTTAATTTTCTATGGTGGTTTCTTTTCTCCTACTGTAGGAAATGAAATGGACACTGGGCAGAAACGGACTCTGTTTCCAAAATGTCCTCGGTTTCATTGATTTTACTAATTTTGTAAGTGATCAAAGCAAGCAAATTTATAGAAAACATTATGAGCCACGCGATGGCTTTGGCGTATGTAGTTCATTTCTGTTTGACCTGTATTTGCCTCTGGACTGCGGGGAATTATAAACATGTTTTCGCAGTTTATGACCCGCGCCTCTTTTTTTCTTCTCTTTTTTTATTTTTGTTGTTGCAGCAGGTCGCATCTGCACGTTCTCCTCGGGTGTAGTGTTTCTGGTGATAGCTAGCCGGACGTGGACCGGTTAACGTGCCTGCCGCTTTCCTTTCTGGGTTTGCCGACTTTGTCGGTGCATAAAACCTCTGTTTCTTGTATGTTTCAAATATTATTGAACCTGAGGTCATTGATCGTCGCTATTGCCTCGAGATGGCTTCCCTAAATTTGCAGCAACTCTATGAGAAATTATGAGTATAAAGGTTATCAAACATAAAGCTGACACTCTTGGAACCCCATCTAGAATCAGATTAAAAGCACTGAACCCCAACTTGGAAAGATATATTATGAAAATGGTACTAGATTACTAGAAAGATAAAGTTATGCACTTGCAGCAAAAATTTTTAAATACAACCTTATCATGCTTTTACTTTGTCTCTCGATGTGTGTGTGTTGTTTGAATGTCACACATTCTACCTTTGTCCTCGGATTCCCGATAGCGCCCGTCTTGTACCATAGTAGGCTTGTCTTAAGCCATCCTTATCATTGCAAATGGATTGCAGCCTCAAAACAAGATTGCGTATGCTGGCAGAGTTCTAGTTCTGAAGCCACAGACTTCCTTCTTTCTTCTTATCGAGTGCCCTTGCCTCTTTTGTTCTGCAACGAACAAAAGCATCCGCTGTAGCTTTTTCGTTGCAGCATATTATCTCTGCCAACCGTATATGTGCGTTCCTTCATAATAATTAGGCTGAACTGTTCCATATGTAGCGTAAGGATGAAGTTCATTTACAAAAGTACAGTAAAACCTCGTTATAAAGAAGTTGAAGGGGCGGTCGTAATTACTTTGTTATAACCATTAGTTTGTTATAGCCAATGTCCATTTCTTCCAACTATTCAAGCAAGGGGAATTATAATTGCTTTGTTATATCCATTTGTTTGTTATATCCCATTTTGTTATAACGAGGTTTTACTGTAATACAAGTAAAATAAGCCTTCCACTCACTTTGAGCACCCTGTCGCCATTCACCAATGTTTCCATGTTGCCTAGAGACGTCTGTGAATAGGTTATAATTGATAGAGCTGTAACAACACATGAAGTAACGTCGTAGGCCAGTTACCTGAACAAATAAAATAAAATGGTTTGGCGGCAGCTCGCCAAGAAAATGTCAGGTGGACCAGTGTTGCCTGGAAATTTAAAGTTTTGCCAATGCTGAAGCAGGGTGCTGACATATCCAACTCGGGTCAAATGATTTGTTTTTTATTCAACAAACTTGCATCGAAGCATGCAGAAAAAACTGTTGCATACCAAGGGAAATCTTAGGAACCAGACGAATGAAGCTCAAGAGGTTGAAGCTGGACATAGTGTCGTAGAAGCCTCGTGTGGCTTAAGAAGTGCAGACAGTCTGTCCTTTTATTATGCCGCTTTGTAATAGCCACCTTCCTGTGCCTTTGAGGGGTCTTCTGCTATGTGCCGTCCGTCATTTCGCATCAACGTCCTGTAGTGTCATTAAGAGAAATATGTGTTAGCTCAAACAATTGAAACGACTTAAGTATAACTGGTACTTAGTTTCTTTTTTTCCTAGGGCTTTCCGAGTCCTGCTTGGAAGGTAAAAAGAAAATTGCGAGTGGTTTAATTAAGGAAGCGCCTTTTGAAAACTTCCTCCTTTTTGTCTTTGTGAAGTAACCTTCTTGAAAGAGAAGCAACAAAAAAAAAAAATCTGAATGCTGTCTGCTTGTGGCATACTTAATGCCAAGAGCCATTCCCTTCAAAGTGGACTTACTTCTTTCAGAGAAACTGGTCCACCCCATATTGTTTTTTTTAACTGGCAGTGTGGTCTGTCTAGAAGACTTTGTTACCTCTCTCTTTGATGCAGACACTGCGCAGAATATCTAAAATTTTGTTGCTTCTAAGTTAAAAACAAAAAGAATGCAAGGGTGCATACCTGCATAAAAATGAGCATCTTGCTCCTTCTTTTGGATGTATTTTAGTGAATGAAGTTTGCTTTTATAGTGCTTATACTCAGCGTCAGCTATTTTTTACTATATTGTCAAGGCTAGCATAGCTTCTACAATGCTTCAGCGCTGTCAAAGGTGGTAGCACGAGCATGTGCATATGAGACGCACGATGAAACCACGTGCTCTTGCAGCAGTGCGAGGCTTCAGCACTGAGGAAGCTGTGCTGGCCTTGACAACATAGCGCGAAACAGTTACGCCGAGTGTAGGGTGCAGCATCCTTTTTATGGCTATTCCCTTTATGTGTGGCGATTAACTTCCAGCCTCATCTCATGGCCCTTATTTTGTCCCCAAGCATAACTGCCACAGGAGGATAAAGAGTGTTTTTCTTTTTTGTTCTTTCATCTCTTTGTGGCTGTATTTTTATACTTTATTACAAAATTATAATGTTTTTAAGGCGTATGTCTGAGTCTAATTACAGCGGTATTTAAAGGGTGGTTATACGCAATTCCCCTGTGTCCACCTAGCTTGTCTGCACTTGGTATGTTTTAAAATGTAAATTGTCCCAGCTGCAGAGGAGGAGGCAACGTTGTCAAGTAGCATGAACTTTTTTTTTCTATTGTATTCTAATAAGGCTCGTTTACATGCGAGTTGTACGCTCAATGACCTCGGCTCTGTCTAGCGAGGTGCCAAGTGTCCAGCTAGTGAGGTCATATTTCTTTCTCTTTCTTTTTTTAAAACCTAAAATTTTTTATTACCTTTATGTGCTCATGACAGGGACAGTTGCAATTTCCAGCCTTTCCTGGAGAAATCATTTCCACGATCCTCCACCCGCTGCATGTCGTACTACCGTCTGCATTTTTTAAGTCATGTTTTCTGCACTATACGGGTAGGAACTGAGGGAGAGGAGGAGAAAAGAGTGCGTGGGGACGTCAGAGCGCGGAGCCCTGGTTGGAACGATTAATGTCTGGACGCAAAACTATCTGCCCTTATCTCCACGGCATTCAGCGTCCTGCATTTGCATTCAAAGCCCGAGTAGAGACGATGGCAGTTAGCTCTTCCCACTAAGCCTTGCAACCAGAGCTCTTTGCTCTCATGTCCCTGCAGGCTCTCATCTCGTCCGCTGTCTCTCAATTTCTACACGTATAACTTTCCCGCTAGCTTTTTGGGGTTTGCCTATTGAGTTCACATTTTCTGCAGTTCTTGTTTGCATGCATTAATCCAAATACATAGTAGGTATGTTGTACTGTATGAACTCAGAATATTCATCATCATAAAATCTGAGACATGATAGAAATAATAGAGAAGAAGCAGGCAAGCTGAGGAACTTTCAACATCTTGAACACCTGAGACTTAGGAATAGACAGTAACAACACACATACACACGTTTTATTCTTTGGGTCTTTTTGGAGCAGGCCTTAACTTGTTGACAGGAGGTACAGAAACGTCTTCGGTAGACGGTATTATGAGTGCAACAATTCTGTCTTTTTATTTTTAATTGCTTAAATGCAAAGAAAACGTGTAGCAGAACCAGTTAGTATTTCCTAGCAGAGAGAAAGTGACCCGTCATTCAAAATTATCTGAAACTTTTTTTTTAATTGCACATTTTTTATAGGGTTGTTGTCTGAAGCAATAAAACACAAAGTAAACATGCTATTTGTTGCATTGGCTGAGTGCTTCTCTGTACTTCTGTGTTGTCTCAAGCTCCTTCTCTCTGATCCAAGGTTTCTAACTCTGGTTCTGAAGTTTCTTTTCTGAATTTTGGGGGACTTGGAAGATTGAAATTCCCAAAAAAACAAACTTTTCATCAATCACCTTTTTCAGGCAGCTGCTCTCTGTTATTGCAACACCAGGCACCTTAGCCCATAAAATTATGTTGTTGATGTTCTTTAAGTATCTGTTTAGATAAGCCTGTCTTTTAAAAACGCTTAACGGACGAGTATTTATTAGATTTCTTAGACCTGTTAGAAAGCACTACTCCTCTGCATTTATCACTGTATGCGTTGCATGAACATTGAACTGTTTACATAAAAAGGTTGTCGTTAATGTATTATGATGACAATCAATAGGCTCTATTGACTTTTTGCAGTGCCTATAAAACATTACCTGAAACTTGTATGGCATACAGTCCTTAAAGTGTTTTAATATAGCAGGTACTGTAGCATATTTGCGTCCCTTTCCAAAGAATCAAGCACTGAAGAAATTTCTGCTTGACATGCAATTCTCAAGAGTAAAATTTTTGCTCCAATTTATTTAAAGTATTTTACTATATTTTCTAGATTTATTTCATCTGAGAGCTATCCAACCCCTCCACTTGTTATCTGTTGCAGGGGGATCTCTGACCAAGATAGCCTACTACTCCACAGTGTCACATAAGAGGGCCATCTACAATGCAGACTTTCAAAAAGTGAGTGGGCATCTCTGTTCTCTAGCCTGGCGTGTTGGCATACGACTTGGAGTACCACTGGCTCGTGCCGACACGACCAGGCACACCTCGAGTCGAAGGTCTTTTATATTGATTGCATGCTATTTCACTTTACGACACTGCTAACGCAAACATAACATTGACACTTTTTTGGCGTTTTTCTTTAAAAGAATGTTGGTGGGCACAAAACTTCACCGCCTAGGTGAGCACTTCTCAGCGCAGTAATAGTTCTGATGATGATGATTTCAAGAGAAAAGAAAAAAAATCAGAAGTTGTTTGTTAAGCAATAACAGTTTTGCGCTACATACATATTAGCTGTGTGGAATTTTCCTGCATCTCCTGTATCGGCATACACTGGCATGCTTCACCTCATTCACTGTATGAGTGCAGCCAGTCATGAAACACATACCAGAAGTTCAGCATAGTGATATGATTGCTGCATGTCACCAATGTGTGAGGAATTTATACCTACATTGTGCCAAAGGCTCATTTTACTTTATGAATACGCAAACTAGTGGTTCAAGTGTCACTGCACTGCCAGATTTTTCCGTTGAGCTTACGCAAATTTTGAGAACTTTTGGTTATCGCCCAGAATAACATGTAATTTTATTCAATCTTCGTATCGAACACGACTTGGTGCTCGGAAATTTTCTTAGTATTTTTCATTGTTCATAGTCTGTCTTGGGTGGTTTATTGAGCTCCGATGAGTGTGCTTCTCATTGCGCATAGATGCACTGTAGAGAAGCTGAGCCCGCAGAGAAGACATTGTAATTCTGTGCGTGTCGCTTTGCCGCAGCGCTGGCTCTTGTTTAGGCTATAACGCTCCTCCGGGGTGGAATAATGTGCGACATCACCTCAAAAATTAAACAGAAAGAATAAGTGAAAAAATTTAGCTTGGTGAAAGTTACAGTTAAAATTTGCAAAACAAAACTATGGTTACTCTTTGTGCCCAGACCATTTAGATGGTAAGCGAGTGTCTTTCCAGCATGTCCCGACACATCGCTGTGAGTTGAGATGCCGTTTGGCGGGAAGGCCCTACGGCGCACCCGCTCTGCGTCCGGCAGATAGCAACTTGACACCCTGTCACGTGTTTTTAAAACTCGGGTTAGCGCCGGCATCTCCATTCCAGGAACTGCTATCGAGTATACATGCAACGCGTTAAGCCAGTCGCTAAACTAACCGACGAAGAGCGCCGAGAGCGTAGACACCACACATTTCACTTGCAACACAATTGCCCGGCAATTTGCTATGCGTTTTGATTTACTGTTTTTTATTCAATATTTAAGGAGAGCTTAGGGCAGCTGCACCGAATCACGTTGATTAGGTGTAACTGGGCTGCGCTGTCTTTTTAATTTTCGTGTCAAGTTAACACCTCTAAACAGACACCCAACTGTTTGTGGATGCAGTCAACTAAGTTTAATTAAAACAAAATTAACTTTATCACTGGAATAAAAGCTTTGGAATAACACTTATGCATTCAGCTGGATTTTGTAAGGTATACTAATGCTCCAAATGCTTATTTTGCGTCATCATCATCAAATCTCTACATGTAAAATGCCATTGATGCACTTATTTAAATTACTTCAGCAATTTTGATATGCTTTTCAGTGGATGCTAAGAAGTGGTTGCACGGAAGTGGGAAGGCAAAAAAAGCACTGTCTCTTAGTTGGACAAGCCAATGCATGAATCTTAAACTAGTATTCGCTGTGGAATAAATCTGGGATGGAACTGCTGCGCCGATTGCGCCACTGTGCGCCTAATGACTTTTCATGCGCCACTCTGATACAAAAGTTTTAATCAGAACAAAATTGTGCCAAGGTGCGCCCAAACTGAAATTATAAACGAGCCTCGTCGAAACTAGCCGTTTCCCAGTTTCTGTTGGCAACGTTGACACCGGGACTTCCGGCCCAAATGGGGCACCAGTAAATCCGAATCCGAAAATGTATGCGAAGGTTAACGTTAACAGCCCATATGGGACGCCAAAGTTAGCTGCCATTGCTGCATGCTCACAATGCTTTTCTGAAGTCCTGGAGTCACTTCATCTGAAGATGTGGATAGGAGAGTAAACATGTGCGGCGGCCCCGTGCAGAAAACTTGGGAACAAGTGCGAGTGAGTAGTGAGGCGTATGACGGAGCAAGATACGAACTGCCAGATAGTGATTGCGCCGATTGCAGTTTGAAGCGATTTGGCAGTGATTTCACGAAAGTGCCTTTGACAACAGACTTGCTGCAAGCTGTGAAGAAGTCTCGTAAAGCTTACACAGAAAGGCTGGAGGTCGAAAAGCAAGACGACGAGAGGCATAAGAGGAAGAACAGTGATGCGAGGGAGAGCTCGTCTTCGGGAAGAAGATCGGCAACTTGAACGGCGCATCATCTTTCCGCGAACCATCCTTGAGCATGAGCAGTCATTGATTGAGTTGGGTCTGGAAAAAAAATGGAGATGGAGAGGATTGAGTCTGGACAAGTCCTGTTAGCGGAGGCTAGCTAATGCGAAATTGGCTCAGAATCTCGAAAAAGTGAAGTGTGTCCGTGAGCGATTGACCAAGTCCGAATAGGTTTATGTGTACAAGGACATTTATTATCTTAATCTAGTCACTGAAAAATGAAAGACCATTTTTGAAATGCATTTTATTTTTCGGTACACCTTACTAGTCAATGCTGAGCAATGAAAGCTATTTGTACCTGTTTATACATACCTCTTTGCAGGTAGGTTTTATCACGTGTCACACTGTCATGTGCAGTTGTGCTTCATGTGTTTTCTGTAATTTGCTAGTAATTTTGTGAAGAAATATTTACAACTAGAAATTTTATTGAAACTACCGTTAAGTTTGTATGAAGTTATCTGCATACCATCTTTCCTTTAGTTTTGAAAACCAGGTGACATTTAGCCTCTATTTTAACATTCTTAAAACTTTTGCTCCAAAACTTTGTTTTTTCTGCTCCCAAGATTGCTCCAAAGCTGCTCCACCCAGTACCATCCCTGATAAATGAGAACAAAGAGTATGCTTGTGCTCAAAAAGTGTTTCTTGCTGCTCCAAAATTGACCTTGGGCTGCACCGAAAAGTGTTCCGAAATCCCTCGACCCAATCACGCCACTTTTAGTGCCACATGCCAAGGACTTGTCTTTTCTTCCTTTTCCTTTTATTTATCCAATCGGACGTCTCGGTGGCCTGAAGCACAGTACATTGACTAGCCTTAATAACTGCATTTTTCTTCATAGGTAGAAATCAGATCTTTATTTTGCGCAACTGCTGACTGAGAGAATCTAATCCATTGATGTTTTTACGACAGAAATCTATTACCTTTCTACACCATTACCATAAACTTTGGTGGCACACCTCACGAGTTTGTTTTACGCGAGCTGGATGTATCTGGCTCCCGCTATATACTGTAGGGTCATTAATGTATGCAAGACCCTAATTTTCGCAATGCGAACTGAAAAATTTGCAAAATTTAGGGACGCTCGAATTAGTCACCTGCCTAGAGGGCTGAATTCTAGCCTCTAAATTTTATTAAATTTAGTGGCTGCATACATGTTCCACGCACCCAATTTGCAAATAGCTTGGGCTGGAAAAATAAAAGTGATTTCGCCAGAAATTCTTTTTCGAACGCACCGACGAACCGCGTCGTCTTTGGGGTGCGCAGAATGGGAGCGGCAGCGCAGGGCCGGAGCAGCGGGTGCCGAAGGAGGAGCAGCCAGCAGAGACGGACGTGGAGACGGCACGGCTGCACTTCGTCAAGTTTGAGACGCGGCACATTGAGGCCTGGCTGCGCTTCGTCCAGGAGCGGCTGGTGGGGGTCCGCCAGAGGGCGCTGGTGGGCAACACGGTCAAGCTCACCGGGGGAGGGGCCTTCAAGCACAGGGACCTCATCGCAAGCACCCTGGGGCTTGGGTCAGGCACCGTACTCTCCGAGCACTGTTCCCTTTCCCCGACGACGCGGCGTCTGATCCCACAAACACACCGAAAGCGGTCCCAAAGTGGCAACGAGCGAGCGAGATCGCAGAAGCCGGCCCGTCACATTGGCATAAATGTTTGCAGAAACAAATCTAGACAAACTATAAACAAACAAACAAAATAAACTGCAAAGAAACACTTAGACGGACGCACAGTGCGAGACAGCACTTCGTATGTCATCATATGTTGTCGGATGTCGCGATCCTGGCAGGGCGTGAGTGCCGCCGTCTTCACGGCATGGTGAACACACCAAAGACACGTTCTAGGCACCGCACCGGTGGAGAAGAAAAAAACGGAAATTGGAACTGCTAGGTACAGTTAGATCCACAGTGGGTTCCCCATTTACCCCCTTGCATAACATACATTTGAAAACTGGAGGGACGAGCAAATGGTGTTTTCCGATCAGTCGACATTGGCCGTGCTAATTGCGGGAGAAAAAGAAAATGAGAAATTTGTCTAAAATGGTTAAGCGCGAGAGCTGGTTTGACCAGTTCGTGTTTATTTTTTCTAGGTCTTCCTGTACCAAGTAGCCTAGTTCATGAAAGGAAAATTTCAACCTGTTTGCCAACGCACGAGTAGGATCTGGCAGGTGCTCCGGTTTGGAGCGACTGCAGTTGGCCACCTCGGCGTGGCCGTCGATTTCGGGACCACTAGGTAGCTCGGTACTCAAACTCAGGTTTTAATGTGGTGCCAGGAATGCGTCTCTCGCTGGTATATGAGGGGCTTGCTACTCGCAATACGGGCGCAAACGCATCGAGGGGCTTTACTCGAGAAACGTTTGGTGCCCGTGGGCGTGGCTTCCCTCGAACGCGAACGTCTGGTTCCTCCGACGCAGCGTGGACATGGAGGATGAGATGGAGTGCCTGATCAATGGCTGCAACTTCCTCCTGAAGAACATCACGGACGAGGTGTTTGAGTACCACCGCCACGGCAACCCCGAGTACAAGTTCAACAACGTCGACCCCAATGTCTTTCCTTACCTGCTCGTCAACATCGGCTCGGGAGTGAGCATCATGAAGGTATGTCTGCGGCCCTCTCTATTTTTGTGTCCTGGCTGCTCTTCTGGCAACTGAGATCTCTTATCTCTTGAGATTGGGTTTTATCTCAGTTTTTATTATTCTAACCTCCCTAGAATATGATGTCTTTATTTCTGTGTTAATAATTTTTTTTATTGATATCTTACAACATCAGCACCTTTTATTAAGCGTGTTGGTGTTGCAGGGTCCCTACGCTCGTCTTTATTCTACCGACATTGTTATTTCGATTGCAGCATCCACCAAATACTTAATTTATATGGCTCGAAGTTTGCAATGCAGATGTCAGGAACTTTAAAATCTGGCAAAAACAACCAGATAAAGACTGGCTTCCTTTAGACTGCAATGAACCTTTTTGCAAAATAGTAGGCACGTGAAAATAGTGGATTTTGAGTTTGAAGTGAATTCAAAGTGAATACTGTTTTTTTTAGAATATTTTCTAATCATTCGAGCCTTCTCTTATATAGCTTACTCATTTTGCTCATCTATCTTAGATTTGTATATTGCTGTCTTTAAGCCATGCCTGAAGTGAGTTTGACAAAGAGTATATTCGATCGAGCTTCTTTTTTCTCAATCCCAGTTCCACAGAACTCGGTCACATCACAACATTATGACAAGTCGCACAATATTTTTTTTTTTTTTCTTTCAGGTTGAGTCTGAGGACAAGTATGAGCGGATTGGAGGATCGGCGACCGGAGGCGGTACCTTCTGGGGACTGGGGTCTCTCATGACCAAAGCCAAGGTGAGCGCACGATTCGCTGGCTTTGTGCGAGCCCCCTCTCCCCGTCCCACCCACGTCCCTTCCTTTTGAAGAAGCAGCAGGAGTGAGGTCACGGGTGAGTGTTTGTCCGGGATGAACCAGGCTTGAAAGTTTCTGGTTCTCCCTGCATGTGTTTTACATAACAGTGGTTCTTTACAAGTAATTCTGATTTGTAGCATATTTAAAAAAAATTCTAGTTAGCATTAATAAAATCGGAATTTATGGAAATAGGCAAGCCGTGACTTTGGTAAGCGAACGAGAGTGCAGCGATATGGACTTAAGAAATACTTCTTCAGTTGTTCGAGCCTTTCTAATATTGCGCGTCCTCGAAAAGCTAGCACTGTCTGGACATGTGCCGAAATTGTTATCGATCCTGGCCTAGTAGTTACTGAGGTACCGGCAATCAATGTGTTCTGTTTTATGCATGTTTGCTTCTAGTCTGTCAAAAACTAATTTGGCATAGGTTTGTCTACATGTTCTGATGAGCACAAGGAACGCTACCTCTGCGTGAGGGTTGTCTGTGGATTGCACTGTGTTCTGCAGCCATGAAACCTCCTTTGTTCCCCTTAGTTCAACTAGAGTGAAGAAGTTCCTCTTCTCTGCAGAGTTTTGACGAGTTGCTGAAGCTGGCAGAGGATGGAGATCACCGCAGCGTGGACATGCTGGTGAAGGACATCTATGGGGGAAACTACAATGCCATGGGCCTCACTAGTGACCTCATCGCATGCAGCTTCGGCAAGACCATACGCTTCACCAGTGACAATGCTTTCTCTTCACGTGAGTGGGCACCTTCCTTAGGCCCAATGCCTGACTCTCTTTTTGTATTCCAGCGTTTGCTACATGGCCTTACATACTTACATGAAAGACAGTGAAGCACTTCATACTTTATTTTGGAGAGTTCTGCACAGCGTTTTAGGTAGCGCATGACTTTCAAAAGTGAGTTTTTTTGGACAAGTGCTCGTGAAAATGACAGACTTTGTCCCCCTGTTCCTGTGTTTCGACAGCACAGCATTCAACTTGCAAGATTGGGCATGACTACCTTTGGTTTGATGTGAATCAGGAAAATTTGAGTTGTAGCAGCCACCAGAGAAGCAAACCAGTTTTTCTTTATTAATAAAATTTTTCACGAGCCATACTAAACAATGTGCAAGTTAGTTTCGTAAGCTTATGGTTTCATGTAGAAAGAACTAGGATGTGGAAATGCATTTACAACGCTTGGCGGCACCAGCTAGTTGCAGTAAAAGGTACCTTTTTCCCTCTGTGGGATCTCTAGCACTTGCACACATAGACTTTACATACAGTGACGCTGCCTGCCCATGACAGCGACAGTGACGCCGCATGTTCACATGCTCCAGCTTACATTGTCCAAGATTGTACTTCACGGCTGTCTGACGCCGTCTGCCCACGAGGAACGTCGTAGACGGCTCACATTGAGGAAGGAAGGGGGACGCCAATGTCGCCTGCAGGGGACTTCAGCGAGAGCGACATAGCGCGGAGCCTGCTGTTCATGATCAGCAACGACATTGGCCAGATTGCCAGCCTGTATGCGCTGATGCACGGGCTGACCAGGGTCTACTTCGGCGGCTACTTCCTCAGGGGACATCCGTTGAGCATGCACACGGTCTCCTTCGCCATCAACTACTGGAGCAAGGTAGGGGAGGGGCCCAGTCCCATTTGCACATTGACTCTGAATGGGCCAACGATTCAAGGGACAGCTAAGGTCAATATTTCTTGCATCTGCCAACCAACGTGCATTGTGCGGGACAACGGTAATAACAGAGTTTCAGTTGACTGGGAAACTCGCAATCGGGGAAGTGTTATTGAGGCAAAATATTACGAGGGTCGGGAGAATTTGTGAACAAACACCCTTGTTTTGCACACTTCTGTTGGCTCGCATGTTTAGGAGACATGGGTGTCAGTTTTCGGTGTGTAGGTGCACCACAGGCTTGCCGATAAACTGGGCGAAAAAAAAATATGAATGTAAAGGTACGAGGGGCTGACAGGGACATAAAAAAGACGGGACTAGCGCTGTACTTGCAACTAACCTTTAGTGCAGTTACAAGAAAGAGAAGGAAGAAGTGAGATAGTTATGCCTAACCAGCTAGCCCACCTTAATTTTTTAGCGAAGGAAAGTAACTCCATCTGTAGCACGTGAAAGTGCTTGTTGTTGGGCTAGTTGGTGATGAACGTTTTGAACCATGGTTAAAAGCACTAAAAAGACGAACACAGGAGAGAAGACAAACACGAGCATCCATGTTTGTCTTGTTTGTGTTCGTCTTCTCTCTTGTGTTTGTGTTTTTAGCGCTTTTAACCGTGGTTCAGGACGATAACATGTGACATCCTTTTCCGCATCTTGCTTGTGTGTTCCACACAAGCAAGATGCATTTTATGGGTTGTTTTCTATAAGAAAACCATCGTGCACAGGCGTCACGAGCGAGCGTCGTGAAAATTCATGGCAAATTGCTAGGCAATTGCGTTGCATACGTGAAATGTTCTAGCACCACAAACGCTTAGCGGTACTCATAAGTTTTCAGACACCCATGTGCACGGCACTCTTCATCAGATAGTTGAATGCATACTCCTGATAGTTGTCTCTAGAATGAAGTGATACTACCGCAAATCAAGCTGATAAACCTGGCTATCTTTCAGAGCCTTCTATACTCTGGAGCTCCTCTCCCTTGATGCACACAGGTGGTCGAGCTCCACCTTGCCTACCTCATTCCTCCTCACCTACCCCTCTGGTCACATGACCTCCCCGTTAACCAATCAGCGTCGAGCACCTCACTCCTTTTCTCCGACCCGTCAACCAATCAGTGTCAAGCCTCACGGCCATGCTGTTATCTGGGATTCACAAAATGCCGCGCACCTAGAAAAAAAATGTTTCACGTTAACCAGCGTCACGAACGAGCGTCGGGAACTATCGACATGGATGAGAGCCATGAACGGGCGACACTCTGGGAGCGTTACACAACGTTAAGGTTGTATATGAAGTTTATATATAAAGTTTGACCCTGCGTCGGTGCGGTGGCAGTTGGATACTACGACCACCGAGCTGACGTAGCACGGCTACTCTGGAAGCATTGTGCTCCCAAAAGAAAGTGCAGGCCGGAGCGGCGTGACGTCGTACCTTGTGACCACTCGCCTCATCGACGTCACAGATCACAAAGAGCCGCATAAGGTAGCACCCGTGCAACGCACTCGTTAAAAAGATTCTGCACTCCCTCTTTTTCGTCGGCGTGATTAGGCTCGAGTATTTTTCCGTGTCCATACTCTCTGGTCCTCCCTTCAGGTGAGCAGTGTGCTCTTATCCTTGCATACGACTGCACGACGTGCGCCGCGGTAGCAGACATTTTTGGACATCGCGGCGCGACACTGGCTGGCGGTAAAGTGGGTGTGGGAGGACCTTACGGTGTATTCTTTAATTTTTTTAGATTATAGTTCGAACTACCCATGGAGCATGCGGACAGCCTCGCTTTGACTTATCGTCGTCCCGTTTCTCCAGGGCAAGGTGCGGGCCTCGTTCCTGAGGCACGAGGGATACCTGGGCGCCATCGGCGCATTTCTCAAGGGGGCTGGAGAGTATGGTGAGTTATGGAGTTTGCACAGCGTTTCGCACTGTTCAGGAGAGTGTAGCTGCGTTCTGTCGGATTTGTCGGCATCAGATCTTCCAACGAGGTTAGTGTTGCGGAAGAGTGAAGAAACGCACGTGAAAGCGGGGATGAGTAGGGTCATATACACACGAGCAAAGGTCAGCAACGGCTAAAAATATGTGCAAAAGTCGTAGACAATTTTTTTCTTTTTTTTACTATTGGAACATTGTTTAAAAACTGCTTGTATGGCAAATCATGCTTTGCTGAAGTTTCAGTGTAGGTTGTAAAGTTTGATGTTCCTCAATACCCAGTCTGAGCTCAATTGCTTTGCGCAATTTTAGATGGGTAGCTTTTTTTGGTGCTTGCTTTGGTACGCATATTTTATGACGATGCATAAACAGATATATGCGATTATTTAAGCCCTGCAGTATTGTGGGAAAAATTCTCCTAGTAGGGAGTTTTAGCGGATTGTTTTTGCATTCCAACAAGGATTCCCGTTACTGTGGAGAAGCCACAGCTCCGCATGCAGAATGGTTTTTATGCATTATTGCATATGTGTCTTTTATTTTGCAGTTCTTTTGACGCAGAATGTGTTTTATGCGGCGTTTTCTATGAGAAGATTGTCACGAATGAGCATCATAACGCACGTCGTGAATCAGTGACACGCTGGGTGCGTATGGACATTAAGATTGCACATGATGTCCGAGTCCCTCCGATACTGCGGCAGGTTGTGGATGAGAAGAATAAATTAATTAAATAGTAATGAAGAGTAAAAGAAATAAACAATGAACTACATATAAAATAAATAAATTCAGTAAATCAATAAGAAACAAAAAGAAAAATAGGACAAGAAAGTAAAAATGAAAGAAAACACAGTAAATGGATGATAAAATGATTGAAAAATCTTGCATGAACGTAACATGGTGTGTGGGTTTTGTACAACACATTTTGTGCTCTTAGGGCCCATTTGCTCGAAGCGCTAACCGCGGCTAAAGTTAGCCGCAGTACCTAGGAGAGGGATTTTGAAATCACGTGACTGGGCTTGGTAGGGATGTGAAGAAACATGGCGGTGCCCCCGTGAGTGAGCGCCGCTCGCTTTGGAATTAATATGTCGTTGTAGCTGCAATATCGGGCGCGTGAGTCAGCAACGAATGGTGCAGGAGGCTTTTGTTTTGCCTTACCTCACTTAAAGGGGCACTGACACATAAAAATCTCTTTTTTTTTTTTTTTATTATCCAAAACGACTAAAAACGATGCCAGGACATTACCCTCAAAATTCGAAATTTGGGAATTCAGTATTTGTGAAGTAAAAAAACAATTTCCAAATGCCGAATTCAAAGTTCCCGCGCGATCCGCGCCGGTGCGTTGACGTCAAATATTGCGGAGTCCTGAGAGTCCACTTTCTTTCATGACTCCCTGCTGTTGCCATGGCGACCCAAAGCGAGGAGGAAAGGAGCGAGCGCCGGCGGACCGGTTTTGAGCGGTGTCGCCTGTTTTCCTTGGGAGGATACAAATACAGGAGACGGCACCACAACAAACTTCCAATTTTTGGTACTTCAAAAAGAAGGGCCGTAGTGCGTTCGCAATTGCGTTAAAAACATGTTTTAGGATTGCCGTTATTAAATGTTATAGAGATGTCGCCTACAAAGCTTCTAAATTTCATGATTCTTGACGTCGCGAATCAAAAGAACCGAGGAGGCGAGAGGCGGGAGAATCAAACGCCAAAAATAAAAAGACGCGCGCGCGCAAAAAAATATTTTTTCGCGACGCGTTTTTTTTTTGCGTGTCTATGATTGCAACTTGCATCGTTTTAGACAATAAAGAAAATACTACCTTTGGGGTGTCAGTGGCCCTTTAAATCGCAAAGCATGAGCAATGACCTTGCCGCATTTTTTAGATAGTCTTTTGATTCTGGCCATTCCTAGGCCTAAATGAACGCGATAATTGTCGGCATGGCAACGTCTTTGGAAAGGGGATTGCCTTGACTCAATTGGCCGGGTATTGATAGCACACAAAAGCAGACAGCGTCTCAATAGACCTTTTTTCTAAATTAACCAAGCATTGAGGAGAACACTGGAAGTGTAATTCTACGGACCGCGCGCACTGGCCTTCCTCTTATAAAAGATTTGAAGTAAATAATCATAATAAGGTTTTGACGAACGCGCGTGCAAGGCAAAATTTCTTTTTGCTTTAGAATAATTACTACTGCAGACGCCAGCACGTGCAACGCGTGTAACTATACTCGTAGCATGCACCTCGGTGCTTGGGAAATTTAGGAAAAGGTCTATTGGGACGCTGTCTGCTTTTGTGTGCTATCAATACCCGGCCGATTGAGTCAAGGCAATCCACTTTCCAAAGACGTTGCCATGCCGACAATTATGCATTCATTTCGGCTTAGGAATGGCCAGAATCGAAAGACTATCTAAAAAATGGGGCGAGGTCATTGCTCATGCTTTGCGATTTAAGTGAAGTAAAGCAAAGCGAAAGCCTCCTGCACCATTCGTTGCTGACTAACGCGTCCGATATTACAGCTACAATGACATATTACTTTTAAAGCGAGCGGTGCTCACTGACCGGGGCACCGCCATGTTTTTCGCACCCCTACTGAGCCAGTCACATGATTTTAAAATCCCTCTCCTAGGTACTGCGGCTAATTTTAGCCGCGGTTAGCGCTTCGAGCAAACGGGCCCTGGTCTTTTTCAGCACGATCGTGCGTGTATAATTTTTTCTTCAGCACTGGGTAGATCTTTTGTCTCTAGGCGGGGACAAAGTGTGCAGTAGAGAAGTGAAGATCAAAGTGCAGTACTTACATGCATGGAGGTCTGACCATTGTGCAAGGGCAATGCTCAGACCTTCGTGCTGCTAACCAAGAGTCTTTGTCATTAGCGTGGTTCTTGGGTTAATTGGAGGGTAACTAAGGAGACTATGATAATCATAGCTCATAATATAAATCAATTTCTTTCTTGTACTGGTTTCATACTTTTAGAATTATCAAAACTTGTTTCGTGAAATACAGCAATTTAAATGCTGAACAACGAGTCAAGAAAGGAGAAAGAAAAAAGAAAAAAAATATAAAATTTCATGTTAGTGCAGCCAAAGTGCTGAAAACTCAATATGTATTGTTATAAAACATAAGCTTCGTAAAGCACCCTCAAAGCAGTTTCTAGAAAAAAAACTTGGAACAGGCAAAACCCCAGTTATGAAGAACTTTTATCTTTCCGTTATGCAATCAGCTTACCCCCGTAATCTGTAACCCGTCCAGCTACTAACGGTCTCTTAAAAAGCAGACTGGTCTTTCGGCATTAATCACTAGTGAGTAACTATAGTAGTTTTGGTGGAAATACATAGTGTTCAAAGCAATGTAGTGAATTTAGAATCAAACTATTTTTCCCGCCTTAATTCGCAAGTGCATCCTTCTGTAGCAGAGGCTTTGGTTTCAGCGAAGCTCATATCGCAGCAGATAAGGGAAACAGATTTAGGAGTGTGCTGAGTGGGTACAGTTACAGATAAGCAGTGTTTGTCGCGCAAGAGCTCCCATTTTCCTGGGCAGGTCGTCGGCAGAAGTTTCTGAAATATCTCCGTGTTCTTTCCCCTCCTCTGATCCTATTGTGAAGGCTATAGATGTCATCCACATATGTGTCAGTCAGTCACAGGCTTTCCTGCCAAGGTGGGTTCATTGTTCGTACCAAGCAGAACCTTTCTCATTATGCTTTAATAACTAATTTATTAAAAATTAAAGGCTTCATTTAAGAAGCATAAGTGTGGAATTGTTTGTCTTTCGTGTACTTACCAGGTTTGGCACAAGTTGTAGTACTAGGACTCCACAGGGTATATCCAGTAGTGTGTTAGTTGGTCGATTTAGAGTGAAGAGCGATCAGAAAAGGCAATGTTTCTTGGAGGAACTACTATAATTGTGATACTAAATTATGCTAGAAGCATCAAATTAAATGACGGGTAGCTAAAATAAAAGGTGAAAACTGGAAGCATGCAGGGATCTGCCGCTAGTGGGCAGTAGCGAACCTGTTTACAAACACCATTGAATAGCCCCCACTCTGTACTTGCGGATAAGAAGTAGGACGTCAAGTCTGTGTTTTCGAGGAGTTGTCATTTTAGGGTCACCAAAGGGGCTAAGTGCTGAACTCGTATATCATTTAAAAAACACTGCAGGTTTTTCACAGGAAGGTTTGTTCAAAACATTCTTCTCTTTTTTTGTAACTTTTAATGGGTTTAGTTCTACCTCAAGGGGGCAGTGCAACAACATTCAGTTGGAATGTTTTTCACTTTACATGAGCTTACTGGCACTAGTGGTACCCAAGTATACTTGCACACACCAGCATTGACCGAGAAACCTTTGTTGCGATGTAATTTTTAGGTCTGGGCGCGAATAAAACTTTTTACCCGATTAATTGTTTGTTACCCTTTAACTGAATAATTAATCTGTCTTGTTCAGTTACCTGCATATTATTTTTAAAAATAAAATTTTTCCTTTGCTGATGTGTTTAACGACACATTACACAATTCTGATTATGAATCAACCTCGATATGTAGTTGGGAACAGCCCAAAAAACACAAATCTTCTAGAAGTCCGTGACCGAGCGTTGTGTGCTCAGCTCCGTGCGCGGCAATATTCTCTGGCGAGAGCGACCTCCTTTGATGGTTCATAATAGTCTCTGCTGCGTTAAACGGACACTTGCAAAGCGTTAAAGTGGTCGGATAAGTGTAACTTTCTGCACTTGTCTGGAGTTACAAATCTTGCCCCGACAGTTTACTTTAGGCTAAACTTTCCTGTCAAGTTTGCCCTTGATACAGTTGTTCTCGTCGACGTCTGCTTGGTGAAAGCATTTTAACTCTTACTTTCTTTTGGTTCGTCAAAATTTTACCAACTAAGCGGTTGAAAAAATTAATTGCAATTAAAGCATTAATTGGTTAACTGGTAGTTTAATCAACCAATTACCCGGGTCTAGTCATTTCCATAATAAAAGCGAGTGTTTTCTTTTAATCCCTCCTTCACAAAACTTGATGACGTAGTCCGGAGGTCGGAGTGGGCATAGTCCCTTATTGATGATTTTTGAATACAGCTCAAAGATTGGATCCGAGAATGGCGTGAGTTTTGATTTGGGCTCTCGATAATGAATAGCTTCAGAAGCATTCAGGTAGTGGCCCGTGTTCAATTGCTGCAATGACGACAATAGCCAAACCCTAACAGTGTCTGGAACTCGGCGCGTGTCCTGTGCTTTGCCAACCCCACGGCACATGGCTAGGGTAAACACTGGCGGCATATAATCGGCTCCAGATAACATGGCCGCTTGTTCTGACTGCGAGTTGAAGGGAAGAACGCTGCTTGTCTTTATTTAATTTTGTTTTGTTACTTCCATTGTACGATAAGAAAAACTGACGCGTGCTTCGTAGGTTATAAATGTCAGGGATTGATTCTAAGTGGTACATCTTTACGCAAAGTGCAAGAATCGTTGCACCTCCCCTTTAATCCTAATGCTCTTCGTAGTACATAGTGTAATATGTTTAATGGGATTACTCTTTTCTTTATAGTACTAATAGCGACAGTTAACGACTCTTACAAAGTGTTACAATCCCTTGCTGCATGAATAAACCGATATCAATACACTAATGGACCTCATGAACGAACAATGGATGGACTTTGCAATCAGATGACTGACCACGCCAAATCATGTGTCAGCGTAGAAAAGTGCTGCTGTTGATTATGATGAGGACTACACGGTTGGGAACAATAGAAACTAGAACATGTGAATGCACTTTGTCACTCGCAGAAGGGTGATCGGATGGCAGCACGTGGAACATGTGCTGCCAAGTGTTGAATGCAAGCGATCTCTCGGACTCTGTTGGTGGTTTGTGGAACCACCAGCTGGTCCCACGAGACATTTCGAACGCTTTGTCACATTTGTTGCCTCGTCCACGACTATATTTAATACCTTTTTCCTCGCATATTCATTTTAGCTCCACGTTGTTTGTTGTGAGTAAATTGTGGCCCTCTTGTTGCACTTTTAAAGACATTTTATTTTTTCTGGTTGCAGACACGGAGAAGTACTCTTGGGGCGAAAACTATGCGGGAAGCTCTGGCCTGCAGAGTCCCATCCCAGCGCAGATATCGCAGCACAACAGCACCATGGTACCACACACCACCTCAAACTCTTGTGCCAATTTTGGTTCTCATTTGGTGATTAATATGCGACTTCCACGTTACGTCATCGCACCGTGCTGATGGGGCAAAATATATGCTGCGGAAAGTATGCACTTAGCAGCAAAGCCACCACTCCGTCTTCTGGTGGGATGTCAGGTCGTGTATAGAGACTGTCATTCTACATTTAGCTTACATGCATCTAATGAGGAGGTGTGGGTTCACACTTTTAAAATTTTACGTACTCAGTCATAAGCTAAGGCCATTATGGCATCTCTTTGTAAGCAGAACCTGGTTGATACATTTTTCAGGGGATCAGGGAAATAAAACATACAATCTGGGAAAAGGTAAGGAATGGGAATGCCATTTGGGGGGGGCACGGCGCTCTAGAGTGGAGACAGATAGCAGCTGGTCACGAAACAGTTTATTTTATGCAAACATCTTTAGGTGAAAGGACTGTAAGTGTGCAGGCGTGTAGGCGTGGTGGTGGTAGCTAATCATGTCATATAACACCTGAGACTGTGGCGCAGAAAAGGAAAAACTTTTAGTCGAAGGAACAAACACAGCAGGGAATGTCTCCGTGTCTCTTCCTTCGATTAAAAGTTTTTCATTTTCTGCGCCAGTCTCAGGTGTTAACTCAAATTGGCTCAGAAAAAGCCTGTAAACATTCTTAGGGGTAAACTTACGGTAAATTAACGTACTGTAAAAGTTTTCAGGCGTGATCTCGGATACGTTCAGGAAAAGCTAGTAATTTCCGCCTGGCACTTTGGGTGACTGAAACGCGGGCGAGCGACGGACAGCTGGGCTTGCGGAGGGGCGTTGGCCGATGTCCTCATTGGTTTGTTTCTGCACAATCGTGCACAACACTTCAGCGCACAAAAGTGGCAAAGGAGGTCTCGCTGGATGACATGCTGTAGAACACGTGCAGGAGAGGTTGCGGCCTGCTAGACGAGTTTTTACAGAAGCTTCTTTACACGGACACAGAAGACTACCAGAACCTGCAGCGCATCAGCCGGGCAAAGTCCTTGCAGCTTCTCTCATGTATGGTGCATGTGGAACCAAGAATTGCGCGACAACACGGAACAGCAAACAAACAAAAACAGAACGAAACACAAGGATGCACCAATTTTGGTAATCAATAAAAAAAAAAAAAATTGTTGCCATAATAAACGTGTTTAAAATAAAGAAATTTGCATGTGAGACGGTTCTCAACTTTTTCGGTTCGCGTTTTTCACGATTTCTTTATTGGGTTTGAGGAATTTGTCTCGAAAAGCTTTTTTTTTGACAAGCAATACAAAGGTGGTGCATTGTTTCGCTTCCTCTGTTCCATCCGTTCGCTAATATGTTTTGTTGTGCGATTCTTAGTTCCACGCGTGGAGAAAGCTGCAGGAACTGTTACCAGCTGACACACTGCAGGTTCCAGTACTCCTCCATATCCGTGGGAAGAAGCTTCTGTCAAAACTTGTCTAGCACTCTGCGCTCTGTCCCACACGTCCATCTAACCTCTCATCCGGCAAGACCAAGACCCAACGAGGTTGGGCAAGACCTTTTTGCGTCTGTGGTGTATTGAAGTGTTGTGCACTCCTTCGCAAGCCCAGGACTCTGTCGCTTCTACTGCGACCGTCCTCGAGTGGGGCCACACCCTCATTATGCCTTGGGTTAGTAAAGGTAGTGACACTTTGCGCTAAGCCTCTCCCAGTGTTCCGTCTCGCGCAGCACGTGGGAACAGCACGCAATTCTTTTGCGTATTAAAGGGGCGATGCAACAATTTTCAGACTTTGCCCAATTAACTGCGGGAAATAATCTGTGTCACCTATGAAACGAAGAACAGAAAACCGTCTTTTCTTGCTCGCGCTAGTTTTTATTTAAAAAAATGAAACCAATCAAAGGTTAAAGTGCCTCTCAACACTCCTGTCGTCTTCTGAATGACATACTCTGGGAGATCACTTTGCGTCCCGTTGGTTTCTTTCTTCAGAGGCCCCAGCCGCTCCCTCTGCGATTCTCGACTTTTCAAGGATCAGCATCGCTGAAGGTTGCGGCGAGCGATCGACACAAAAGACGGTTCGCATAGTTCCCGTAACCGCCGCACGCGGATGCAGATTGGCAAATAATTTGATTTTTTTCCTTCGTGATTACGCGGCAGAATAGCAGTTTTTTCGGCAGAATAGCAGTTTTTCGGAGCAGGGTGGCACATTTTTTGTCACTTGTGCCTAGATAAATGTTATAAAAAATACAATCTGCAAATTCTTTCAACATTGAAATCTTTGCACTACACCTTTAATGCGATAGCGCCGTGACCGTAGCGATAGGGGTTGCATTTGAACGACAGTGCCAATGTGCAGTCGTTAAGTGGTTTGGTCGATCCTGGCTGTCCCTCGTCACGTGATCAATCCTGTCCGCGAGTTGGTCTGTCGTGTGAATCGGCCTGTGCCGTTGGCACCACGTCGGCGGCTTTCTGGACGTAACAGTTGGGAAAGCAAATGCACCAACCAAAAAATTAATACATGCGCTCCTATGGGAGCTCGGCGGTACCGGTGCTTCCGAACTTAAAAGTCGGGAATGTGTGAAAACGGGGAATGTATCAATGTGGTTCCACTGTAGATGAAGTGAGGATGGGATAAGAGGGCTGGCCCAATTTATTTCAATTAAAACAAAAAGATTCACTGTCATATTTTTTGTTGGCCCTACCTTTTCTTACCACTTCACACTTGTTGCGTGGGGAAGCATCTCAACCCCCGTGCTTTCCCAGCGCACATCCTAGCAGACAGACATCGGTGATTTATATTGAGAGGATCATTCCTGTTGCGGTTTAGTTTGTCCATAGTGTCGACTGGCACGATGGAAGAGTTTTTTAAAAAGTGGATCAGCGAATTACTTGATTAATCAAATCACATTGTGGCATGTAGTCAGTGACCTATGTATCCAGCATGCTGATGGTATATCAGTACAAGAGGATGTTAGAGGAAGATATGCCATGTTTATGTGCATTTCCATTTCCTAAATTTGCTGGCCACAATGCCTACATGGCTTTGCCCAATTTCGAAGGCAAATTTGTAGCAGCTTGCATCAAACTGACTCTATGCCACAACAACGCCAGTGTCATTTAGCAGTATGTATAACGGCATCACCGCAATCATTTGGAGGCTGTTCAATCGGAGAGCTTTGTTTTCATTCCTATCCGAAGCTTTGCAATGCGGCTGACTTGGGGCATGTCTAACGCAGGGGTACATATATTTCGATCTCAATTCCGCTATTTGCCAAGACTGATGGCTGAGGAAGCCCAGCCGATCCTGGCATCGATGCAGTAAAGCAATTCAGGGACCTACAAACAAACAGTAAAACAGACACTAAGAAGTATTTGGCACATACAGGGAGTTTCCGAAAAAGGAGAACCATGTTTTTCGGCCCGGATAAATAAACTATGCATCGCTGAAAGCTTGAACTCTGTGAGAATATGGTACTAGCGGTTGGGGTAGAACTCGAAAGTTTGAGAACAGGACGTTACCTGAATAAAAAAGTAATTGGGAAAAACAAAATTTATTCATGAGCCAACGTCCACCTGAGCCTAGTAGCGTCAAAACAAGAACCGACGTTGCGGAAGCTTGGGGGATTTATATCGGTGAAAAACAGTTGTCGGCAGGATAGAGAATAGTTTTCTTTCTTGCTGACAAGTATTTTTCTCCGAGAGATGCCTTAGGCACCTACAAGGTTGTTTCTCGTTTTGACGATGTTAGGCTTAGATGGACGTCAACTCATAGAGAAATTTCGTTTTTATCAATTGTCTTTTGATCCAGGTAACATCATGTTCTCAAACTTCCGTGCTTTATCCCAGCCGAGTTCTCATGGAAAGTTCTCACAGAGTTTGAAGTTTCTGCGATGCTTAGTTTATTTACACAGTTCTCTTTTCTCGGGAACTCTCTGTAGTTATGCATCAATGGGTGGCTTAGGTCTGGAATCTTGTGGAACCTATGAGGATACTCTGAGGAACCCATGTGTTTCTAGAAACCCAGTTTAGGAACCCATGGTCTAGTGGATCTGGGATGGATGGTTGGATCTCTGCAGATTGACCAGCTGGAGATGGACCGCTTTGACTGGCAGCTGGTGTACTGCCCGCTGCTCGAGGACCCCGCCAAGTACCTGGCGGATACCGTGGATCTGACGCAGGACGCAGAGGCTCGGACCTACTGGCTGCAGTGCTTCCAGGACGCCATCGACAAGGTGGGGCCTGGGGTCGCTCGAGTGCCGCGCTCGAGAGTGTTGTCGGAACCCTCGTCGAAAGTGTCGGGACCCTTTTCCAAAGTATTGGCACCCTTGTCCACAGTATTGGCACATCTGTCAAAAGTGCTGCCACCCTTGTCTAAATTATTGGCACATTTGTCGAAAGTGACAGTGCCCTTGCCGAAAATGTTGCCACCCTTGTGTGAAGCGTTGGCACCATTGCCCAAAAGTGACAACAAAATGTTGCCACCCTTGTTTCAATTATTGGTACTCTGTTCAAAATATTGGCACTGTTGTTCAAAGTATTGGCACCATTGTCAGATATTTTGCTATTGCCCAACTGGGTCCGTTACTTCGTAGTGTAAAACTTCATGGGTAGACATGACTCTGAAATTACACTTCGCATTTTAGCTGGTGTTAAAGACTGGTGACATACTTTTACATTGTCCAGTGGTGTTCTACCAAAGCGTATGGAAAGCAAAGGCTGGTTACAACTTGCCACACTAGTTTTGTGCAGCGGTGTGAGCTCGGTGACATTGCTTTTAAACATGCTTATTTATTGACTGCAATTGTAGGTATGCTGCAGTGATGGAAGTGTTGTGCCATTTGCGCCAAATTGCTTTGGAACGAAAGGCTGCTACATCTTGCGCCAAAGTGCCATTTTTGCTAAGAATTGCACCACACCTGTGCCAAAATACTAGGGAAATAAAAAGATATATATATTATTATTGGTTGACTTTAATATTTAGAGAAGTAGGAGGAAAGGAAAATGGCAAAAATACCAGGCAAGCGCCCACTCAAAATTTAGAGATAATCGAGAAAAAATGGCGGATGGGCGCTTGTCCAGTCATCCATTTTACATACAAATTTACTGTGCATATTTTCTCAGATTTTACAAATGTGGGAATGGGCATTCAGTGTGGAATGGGCGGATGTGCGGTATTCTGCGGTAATTTGTTTTATCTTAGTTCACAGTACAGTTGAATGCTCGAACTGATACAACCACAAACACATCTAAAAGTGCAAGTCATGGGACATTCACTGTACTTGATTCGTTTGGTCGATGAAAGACTACCCACAGAAAAATGGGCGAATGTTGTGATGTTGCACTTTGATGCTGGTTGGCCCCATTGGCTCGTGGCAGCGGCTGCGCTTTAAATTGAGGTGAAACGAAGTATTGAGATCGCTTGTCAACCGCACTTGTTGGTTGATGCGCTGGAAAATTGATCGCAGACATTTTCTAATCTCCAGACTGTGTCGGCGATGTGAGGAGCTAAACGTTGTGAGAAAACATTACCAAATTGTAGGATGGTGGCAACTCTGGTAAGACAAAATTAGGGTCTTGTATTCCTGATGAGATCATTCAAAGGGGCGATGCAACAATTTTTGTACTTTGAGCAAATAGCGCTTAGAATGGAAAACATGCGTTTGTTTTTCTCTGCACGCAAATACAAGTCCCAGAAAAAACTAAAGAGAAAATGAGCAGCATTCGCCCCCTCAACTCGCAGCCAGAACAAGCGGCCACGTGATCCGGAGCCCATTACATGCCACCAATAATGATCATAGACACTCGCTGGGGTTGGCAAGGCACAGTACACGCGCCGAGTTCCAGGCATTGTTATGGTTTGGCTGTTGTTGCAATTGCAGCGATTGGACACGGGTCACTACCCCAATGCTTGTCGAGCTGTCGATTATCACGAGCCCAAATCGAGTGCTCACGCAATGCTCGTGTCCAATCTATGAGCTGCATTCAAATATCGTCCCAGGGGATACTGCGGTCCCCCAGCTACGTCATCAAGTTTTGCAAAGGAGAAATTGAAAGAAAACGCTTGCTTTTGTTCTTGAAATGACACCGCAACCAATGAGTTTCTTGGTCAGTGGCGTTTCGTGCGAGTATAGTTGGGTCCCACTAGTGCCTGTAAGCTCGTGTAAAATTAAAAACATTCCAAGCGAACATCGTTGCACGGCCCCTTTAATTACCACGTCTGCCGCATGCCTCCGTGCGGCTCTCACCAGTGCGCGTGTGTCAAGCTTCACTGCTTTGCACCGGAGTGCCAGGTGGAGCGGGTGACGTGGGTGAGCGCCTCGGTTAGCGCAATAGTATGCTCAGTACCACTCCAGGTCTACTTTTCTTTTCTGTCTTGGTGGTAGGTTGATCTCTAAGTTTAAAAATCTGCACCGAGAAAAAAAAAAAATGTGGGTCTATATTTAAGTAAATGGTAGTCAAGATTGCTCCGGTGCAGCTGTCGATCAAAAGCACAGCGAATTTTGACTTCACTCTGGTTCTAATGCCGCTAAAGAGCAGAAGCGTAGGTTCTCATAATATTTGAGGGTAGTTGTTTTGGCAGTTTATGATATTAAAGTATTGAGATTGCTAGGTTCATAAAACTTGGGGGACACATTTTTGTTGATAGACGAGCTTGTTTTTGCAGGCACTTTCACGGAAATTATATAACCAGGAAAAATAAATGACTTGCTGTAAAAGTGCAAGGGGATAGGGGCTTGATCCCAACTGAAGTGTTGTGCTATGATTCAGTTTTCATCAATTTTTCAGTACCCATTTTGTATGGAACTTTCTCTGACTAGAGCAGTGGTCTCATACTCATTTGAGCGTGGGGGCCAGATAGCCCACGCCGGAAAAGTCGAGGGGCAGCATAAAACGGGGGGCTTGAAAGATTTTAAAGAGAAGAGACCTCATGCTCTATGCATTTTATAAACCCACAGTTTTGCCATTGACATCTTTAGATTTTATTAGCTTATGACTGCTTTGGGTCCCTGACCTGATGTGATAAAAAAGGATTAAAAGGACACCGCCCTGCAAACGTGCTGGCATTTTTAATAGAACAAAAAAGCTACACTGTCAATTCACTCAGGAATTAACCAAGCTCAGGACGTCTCTAAAAACAATCAGTTAAGTTGACAGTTCTTGCTTTCTTGACGACTTTTATTAGAACACTCTGAACAAATACTTGTCTTTTAATGGTGATATATTTTGAAGGAGAGAATCCCGAGCTCGTAGCTTTATCTTTGGCAGTTGCTTTTGCTGATTGCAAGTTTGTGCAGCCAAGATGCATGCTTCAAGGAATAGCTCGTGCTTGCAGCCTAGTAGGGATATTGTTGTTCATTTCAAAATGCTGGGAAGCAAAAAATTAAAGCAAAACAAAGGGCAAATGAACACAGATAAATGTAGACGATTGCAAGCTAGGCCACTGGCCGCCACCACGTCTCTGCTCGTGCGGACAAGCCGCTGCAATTTCAAGCTCACCAAACAAGGCCCTTGCTTCTACTTTCCCGCAAAGCACATTAACAGCCAATCATTGCGTTGCGCATAAATAACATAGGGAATAATTAGATTGAGAACACGATTCTCCATACAAATGCAACCTTCACAGATGGTATCTTCGTGCGAAGACGTTATCTCTCTCCTGTAAACCGCCGGAGTCATGATGTCGATCGTGGTGATTGGCAATCCGCGTGCTCCGTGGAAAAGCGACCCCACAGGTTTTCTTCATAAGCAGTGCGGCTATTACTCGAGTAAATACGGTACTTTTTCTTTCTCAATATGTGGTCTGGTGTTCAAAATGAAAGAGATGAGCTTAAAGATGATGGATTGCACTTGACACAAAAGACAATGAGGAATGGATGGCGAACTCTTTCGGCTGAAATTCTCTTTTTTTTCTTTGTTTCCAGTTTGTGGAAGTGGCAGTGTGCAGCCAGCCTCACAAGGAGGACGCTCCATCCCGTGCAAACCAGTTCAAGGAGAAGTACCTCTGTCGTCTGCAGCACTTGCACGAGCATCCCTTGTGAGTCCCTCTCAACCTTATACATGCTACTACGGTGTCTGGATCCGACTGGTGTGCCTACCGCATACTAAGATTTTGTGACCTCACTTGTTGCGAAGACCGCTTTGGATGTATGGGCGGAATAGAGCGCTAAACAGACCAGTCCGGACCGTATTCCAGGCGGCATGATACTACACGCGGGTCGGGGACAGATGTCCTGTCTCTCCTCTTGTCGAAGATGAGGCAAAGTGCGGAGGGCGAGTTTAGGCTAACCGTACACCAGAATCTTTTAGGTGGAACTCTGGTATGATTTCTGCAACTTTTTTTATTTATTTATTACTCTACTCGCCGGCCGCTTTTACAAAGGTCGAGGCAACTGCAGCCATGCGACGTGGCGTGACAAAATATTACGAAGCGAGGCGATAACAGAAAACATGCAACCGCACTAAAATACTAGTACATCAAATTGGCACCGCAGCCGTGGTACAGATGGTAGGTATGTGGAGCTTTACGAAACTATGGCAACAGTTTATCAGCATTTACGTACTAAGTGCCGAATGCACAAAAACCTGGGTCCGGTGGCAGGTGCGTTCGGAGGACTACCGTAAAATGCCGAGCATCCGCCCATTCTAGAATAAGCGCCCAGTGCTCAATTTTGTGACGTTTGAAAAATACACAAAAGACATAACTTTACATATTTGACCTAGAAGCACCCATCCCCCAGTGTTACACGATTATCTCCAAACTTTGAGTGAACGCTTGCTCGGGATTTCACGATAGTTATGTGATAGACACTAGCAGAGAGTGGAGTTGTGGGCCTTCTAATCTGAAGGTATGTGTGGTCTTCCTTGCAGCGCTTACGGTTCCCTGACAGTCAGGAGCCTGCTGGACATGCGAGAGCACTGTCTGATTGAGTTTGACTTCCCAGACCCTTACTTCCAGGTGGGTGGAGATCAGTCTTTTTTAATACGCCCCTCAACGGGCAAATGGAATGTTTAGACAGCGAGAGCTGCCTGCCTTTGAGGTATGGCGACACTGGTTCATGCTGTAGATGTGCAATTTAGCCAGTGCAGTATACCTGCTAACTTGGAGTTTTTAACATTGTGTCATGCAGTAGTGATCACACGCTGGTATCATGTTCGTCTACAGCATTCAGTATCTACAGTTGGCACTAAAAAAGATTATCACAAACGAGCGATTGCCAGGCTGTCAAAAAAGCGACACGTGGCACTGCAGTCACGCCAACACGGCGGGATCGAGATTGCGCGGCACGTGGCATGTTTTTAGCGCAGGGGAGGTCGGAAAACAACAGTCGTCCCCAAAAGCGCGCTATCAGAAGGCCGCTACTCTGCCTCAGGATTTCGTAGTCCAAGCATGACTATGCACAAGAGGCTTCTCTTCATTACATGCTTTTAGGATGCTGAGCTTGCAGGGATTATGATGACAGTACACACGTAGCAAAAACAATATTTGGAAAAGGTAACTGTCTACCGAAGCTCCCCCGAGATTGAAAGCTGAGAATGGCCCGGCCAACCTCAATCTCGCCGTAATCGCAGCAACGCGTGTGGCGATTTCGCCGTTCAGGCCGTCAATCACTCGTGCCCATCTTTCTTAGCGCCGACTGTACCGGTGGAAATGAGCAGGGTGGGGATAGAATTTGTGTCATGGATTCCCATTCAGCTGTTTATATTGCACAAAGAATGCAGATAGAAGCGAAACCTGGCAGATGCGCATTTGTTTGGTTCAGTATGACGCTCTGGGAGATTCTGGACAACACTACTCGAAAGAACATTCTGACTGTGTTTCAAAATTTACTTGATTTCACTCCAGCGTTTGTGCCTTGGCATTTGGAAACCTGCTGGGACCTAGTGGCCCTCTATCCGTGTTGTCACGTGGTATGACCCACAGGAGTAACTCTTATCTGCTCGAGTATGAATGGGAGTGCAACGTAAGTTTGTGCAAGGTGTTTCCGATCGCTATTTGGGTGTAAAAAGAAGTGTAGAAATAAACTAATAAGCTGTGTGCAATTACTCTTTTCACAAAGATATCTTTAGGTGGTGCATTTATCTTACTCAAATTTCACAAGTGTAGGTGCAGTAATCCCTCGTTATACTCAAACTCAGTTCTGTTACGTCACGGCGCAGTGGTGGCGTGTTGGGCGCGCTTCTGGTTGGGGTTGTAGGCAGAAGTCCCTATGCGGGACGTGCATTCCTGTGTTGTTTTGAAAGAAACCGGACAAAAACCTGCCTTCTCGCCAAAATGTCGCGACTAGGGCTGTGCCAAGAGTCGAGAAAGCTTTGAAGGTCAGTCTTCATGTGTTTTCTGCCTGCTCAGTTTGTCCGAAAACGTTGATAGGTGCCGTGAAAAATAAAAACCAGGTGCCGTCGAACCACGATTGCTTGTGCGGGAAGCATTGAATTCGTAGATACTTGTGGTCGTCAGATATAGGTATTTTGTTTTGTTCCAACACGAACGTGGAAAAAGGGCCAAGTTGTACAGACCACCTGCGAACTACGTTCAGTGCGTCTTCAAGTTCAAACGGCTGCTTGATTGTTCGAACTGTCGTCTGCTGTTTCAAGCGTTTCTTGTTGTTGTCTGCTCGTTCAAATGACAGCGGCCAGTAGACCATATGTTGACCTGGTAATTGCGATAAGAAGTAAGTGCAGGCCACAAAAGACGTTTAAGTTTGAAGGTTGGTTGGCGTAAGCAGGCTCGGTGTAAACAGTAGATACAAGGAGATATGGATAATTGTTACCAGTGGCCATCACCGACTTGTTACGCCTGATTCACTTGGTCCGATTCTGCTTGCGATTTCCTGTATTGAAGTCGACCATCTGAGCTACGGTTCACGCTTTTGCGACCCGAGCGACGTCGCGACTGAAAATTGCGAGCGGAATCTCATCATGCGAATCAGGCTTTAGCGTACATTCTGCGGCGTCCATGCAGAATGAATCGCCGCATGTCACATTATTCACGCAAAGTTTTGCGGTGGAACGAGTCTCGTTAATTTCGCTGACGCCGCTCAAGTAGTCAGACATTACCAGGAAGACGTAGAATCAACAATTCCAATGCGAAAAAGAGCACGGGTACTAACACCGACGCTAACAACATTGCATTTCAATGGTTCGTTTATGGACGACGGCGAGCTTCTTGCCCACATTCCATCGCGCATGCGTGGCACCGGTGGCGTCTGCTAGGGGCTTTTTGGTTTGTTTGTAAACATCAGCTGGTCTATAACGAAATCGCTTTTTTCGAATTATTGCTTTTATCGAGGTTCAACGTGGTCCCGACCTAAATGCACACATTTTAGCAGGATTATCTGAAGTATATCGGCGGTCGACCACGCTCATTACGAAGGCTGCAGTAGCGAAAGCATGCAAGCCCACACGGAGGCGCACAAAAACCCTTGCGTTCCTTTCCCCTTCTCCACCGAGGCAAACGGTAAACTGGGAAAACGTGGTAGACAGGTGACAGGGGACGAAGCGTGCAGAGCTGGCAAAGTGCCACTTCCGATGTCGATGTGCTGACGCAGGGACGTGGGCAGGGAGCAGCGTCAACGTTCTGATGCTACTCGCGGCGCTTGTGACCGACGCTGCCCAACTCCTGTCGGAATCGGGTCAAGGGAGGGATGGAACCCGGAGGAGATCATTCCTTCAGGAGCCCCCAACGTGCTCACCTGTTGCGTACTGCACGCACACTTGCACTGAATGGGAGATTGGGAGTGTTTACCGAAAGTCGCTTAGATCTGCGAGGTTGAAAAAAATGGCCGCCGCAAGTCCGACAGCGCCAAAGAATTCTACATTCCGTCATCGGCTGTTCGACACTGCCCGCCGTTTTGCAGAACAAGCAAGGCATATTGGACTGGTTCCAGAAGTCCACCCACAACCCAAAGATGAAAGATTGCCAGCTGCTTCAAGCATGTTGGATATTTTTTTGCAAGCATGCTTGTCGAGCCGGCGCTTGATTTCCATGGCTGCAACAATCTCTACGGGAGTGTGTGAAAGCATGTTGACAAAGCCACCGAGGATAACCTTGATTCGTTCGTGCTTGTTGTTGCGGACATTCCCGTTGTTGCTCCTGCCACGGATGCTGCGATCGTAGACCTTGCGTGCAGCCATGGTAAACACGAAGCGATGTCGAAGGGGCAACTTGGGAAGCGTCAACGACTGCGGAGATGCGAAACATCCTACGGCTGGTTCGAAACAGAGTGGAGTGCAGCAGTGGTGAGGGTGTTCTTGCGATGCCTGGAGCAGTTCGAGGAAAATTAATGCCCAAGGGCATTAGTTATCGGCAAACTCCACTTAATTATTTTTTTTACTCGGTAAAACTGCCGTGAGATGTCCATAACCAAGGTTTATTTGATTAAATATATGGTCGGATTGTTCCGCAATGTCCCATCCACCTTCAAGGCTGCTGGCACTGTTTTTTTATTACTCTATCGCTTTTATTGATTTCTTTTTTTTTGCCGTATTGTTAACTTCGCTATAATGAGGAATTACTGTATTAGGAAAAAAACTAAGCCTAAAAACTCCCATTTTTTTCTATGCAAAGGGAGGAAAAGCATTATAAACTGTCCGGTTGATGCTGCTACTTGCAGGTGGTACAACATAAAGCAAAAACATGAAAGCTTCTGTAAGATGAACACTCGAAAGCAGATCTGAGTTTATGTTGTACCATCTGTGACATTGTGAACCAGACAATTTGTACCAATTCCCTCCCTGTGCATAGAAAAAAACAGAATTTTTAGGCTTAAATTGTTTTTTGAAACCGATACTTATGATTTGAGTATGATAAATGCACCACCTAAAGTCTCCTTTGCGAAAAATTTCATTGCACTTCATTCGTTGGTTTTTTACACAATTTCTTTTACGCCCGAATGACACTCGGAAGCACCATGTGGAAGTGGGTTGCACGCCGACCGACGCGCGTGTGTCCAGGCACGCGCAGCAAAAAGCTCCCGGAGAACAGTGGTCAATGAGGCTGCACTGATCACGTGATACAACCCGCGGCAGTAACTAGAGTCTACTTGAGTAAGCTCGTGAATGCAGCCTCGGTTTTTAGAACTGGGTTGTGGACCAACCTATACGTGCGTGTCCGGGCACGCGCAGCAAAAGCGGCTGGAGAATGAGGCCGCACTGGGTCGCCTGCGCGAGCGCCTGGACCAGCTGGACTCCCTGGGCTGGAGGGAGCGCCAGGAGGCCCTGGTGGAGGGCTTGCTGGCCGGCAACGTCTTTGACTGGGGCGCCAAGGAGGTGGCACTCCTGCTCGACGGGGGCACCTTTGGCTTCGCAGAGGCCATGGGAAAGCTACAGGGTGAGCGAGCGAAGGGCAGGGCCCCAGAGGCCGTTATTCTCCCCTTCACGTTTCTTCAGCCAAGTGCCATGTTTACTGGAGCTTTAGCCACGCTGTTCGCAAGTAAAGTCTGCACGCCAACTTTCGAGCAAAGCGCCCGGATAGTTAGTCATCGCAGTTGACAGAAGGAGCCTTTAGTTTCTGAGGAGTGTACTGTGCCAAAAAAACTAAGGACAAGAACACGGGGCACATGGACTAAGTGCTGATTTTCAACTGATTTATTTTTACGAAACGGATACCGACATGATACCAGAACACAAAAAACACAAAGTCATCTGTCACATCTGCTCCAGTACTACTTGAAGAAGCCACCTTCTTCTGAATCAGTGCGATCAAAGGGGCAGTCTTTGTACTTGGAAATGAAAAAAGCCTCCAGACTTCCCTTAGTCACCTGAAGACCGTGACGTCTTAGAGTAGACATATCTCCTAAAATATGTTTGTAACCCCACCTGTCACAATGTGCAGCTAGGTTTCCCCACAGGTGACAATCTAATCGTAGGGACATGCTCTCTTAACCCCTCGTTGACGCATTTTCCTGTCTTTTGTTTTTTCACCGCCGTTTACTCTTCGTTCAGCCTATTCGCCCAACTTTCCACCTTACTGACTTTAGTCCATTCACCCTAAAGCTTAAAGGACAGCAAAAGCTGCAGCGCAAGTTCGCGACTTTGAAACATGCTCCTGCAGATCAAGCGCTCACGCTAAAAAGGCAAGTCTCAAAGCGAAAATTGTGGGCTAGCTGGGACTTTAGCCTTTGCCGCCCTGTCAGCTCAAAAGTGAAGAAAGTGTAGCAAATTAAACAATAAAAATAACGTCCCCATACAAGAATGCAGTTTGCATTGTTACACTGCACACAACATTTCACATGCCCAAGATTCAGTGCAGATCGTATTTTTGGGGAAGAACAGTTTTCTCTACATTGTCGTTCACTATGAATGTTTCTTGCCTGCAGCATTGTGATTTTTTGTATATAAGCTCCGCATAAAAGTGGCCGCACGGGCATTATTGGCTATAAACGGTGCAGCTTTAGCCCAAGTATGCGCGATATCATTTTGTTTGAGAAACACCTTTTATACACGCTTTTGACTTTTTATGTCTTTACTTGGGTGGGCACCAGATTAGTTAGAGCAGATTACATTTTCATAGAATGATGTGGCCATTGAAAACCTACGCTGCCACTTAGCAGTATGCTCTAAAGTGCCAACCCACAATGCTGCTGGACCTGGAAAAACAATCTGCTAAAACCTTGCGTTATGGCGAAACCTCACGGGACAATATGAACACCTTATGCCAACTTTGGCTAGCGCAGAGCTAGTTGACGTGAGCAAACAAGCGCTTTTTGTTTGTTTTCTTGCAACTTGCAGTCTGCGATCAAGCACACCCGCATTAGCAAGCTGCATAATGTAGCTAACTAAAATACCCCCAAGTAGTCACTGTTTAGGAACGAGGCCTCTGCCTCCACTGTCCTGCCTTGCATGCACACGGCCCATTATCGCGTTCTACGTAAGAAATGCACCGAATAATGTGGTCACGCAGGCGATCCTCCACAGAAATGTGATCTGCGCAAATAGCATCTTGGCACAAGGACATCATCCTCTAAGTCCTTCTGTCAATCGCAACGAGCGACCATCTGCACGCTCCGGGGGAGAGCGGACACGCGGGTCTCTTTCGTAAGCAGCGGCTACTCGAGCGAATACGGCAAGCCAAGTCTCATAGCAGAATGTCGGCTGCCACTCTGAAGCTTCCGGACTTTCAATAACGTTCTTGGCTGGTAAAACTTGTTTGTCACTAGAGCACACGAGTATAGGCTAGGCTGGTTCACAGATTTCGGATCGCTTACGACCGCGTGCCTCGAAACCTCTTCAAATCTCTTCGACGAGAGGATACGCCGTTTCTGTGTACTTTCTATTTTTTTAGCATATCATCGTAACTTTTTTGGCTCTGAAAACTTTTTACAATATTACAAACAACCATTTCTCATAAGTAGCATGTACGTTTGATCTCACAAATGGCGCCAAACCTTCGCTCTAGCGTAAATGCAGTTCCAGGGTCACTTGATGGGTTGCCAGCGCAATCTCTCGTCCTAAGAGGTCGCGAGAGTTCAGTCCTAAACAGACGCAAGTGTGTGAACGGGCCTCGAAGTGCGAAGAGGCGGGCTTTTGGGGACAGCACGTCCCTGGCTGCGGGACGACCTGGAGCCCTGGGTGCAGCGGCTGCGGGGAGAGCCCCACCGGTGCGCCGCCATCTTTGTGGACAACAGCGGCATGGACGTCGTCCTCGGGGTGCTGCCCTTCGCCAGGGAGCTCCTGCAGAGGGGAACCAAGGTGACCGTGCCTAGAGTAGTCTTAAAGCCATACCGCCACGTTCGTGGTCCAACCCGAGACGAAAATAGTCTTCGCAGTACGATCTTGGAACGCGTCTACGGCCGGTGCGTTTAGCATCCGTTGCAGAGAGCAAGTCGTCCGCTTGTTGCTCGGGAGCTGTGGCGACGTTGGATCAACGCCCAGCTCCGATTGGCTTTGATCAAAAGGATAGTGGGTAGACCTCAATGCTAGATTCCTCAAGGTCTACCCACTATTTTTTTCGATTGGCCAGTAAGAGCTCTGTGCTCTGACAACCTGTACGCAAGAAGCAGACAAACTTTCGCTCCGCATTCCGCCCATGCATTGAAAGTGGTCCCGGTGTGGCGACAAACGACGTAAAAAAAGAAACGGAGTGTAACGCCATCGGAATTTTCCGTCCCGGCGGTTGGGCGTAAAAGTTCCAACAAAGAAGCGCAAGCAAATGCGAGTGTCGCCGTCGTCGCGGCGTCTCAATATTCCCGGCTGCCGAAGCTTCCGTGGACTGTCGAACTGAAGAGCGACTTGCAGCAAAACCGGCATCCGCCACATCTTCCGCCACGATGCCGCCAGGATGGCTGCTGGCGACAGCGCAACGCCGTTGGGCGGAGATCGAGAAATTGTTTTATTGGATGCGGTAAACGCTCCGGCTGAAGATGCGTTCCAGCCATCGTAGTGGAGCTGGGGCTGCCTCCCGCTAAATCCCACCCCCTTGCCGTGTTACGGGTGCAGGTCCTGCTGTGCGCCAACACTCGTCCGGCGCTGAACGACGTGACCTTTCAGGAGCTCCAGATCCTAGTGCAGAGGGCGTCCGCAATCTGCCCCCGCATCGGAGACGCCCTTGGCCGGGGACAGCTGCTCGTGCTCGACTCTGGGCAGAGCTCGCCCTGCCTAGACCTTAGGTAGGTAGGACGAGCCGGTCTTAGTCTCCGAACCCCGCCTTCCTTTCCGAATCCGCCTCGAAGGCGGTCAATCTGGAAAGAAGCTAGCCATGAAGGCGTTCGTGCACGCTCGAACGAAAATCTAAATTTGGTGTGCTAGCCAGAAGCGCAAGGTGTCCAAAAAAAACAATTTAGCTTCTTTTTTTTTTTTTCCATCATAGAAATTAATTTTTTTATTTACTCGCATATTGAACACACTTTTTTTTTCAAAAAAAAATTTACATATATTTGGGGGGTGCGTTTATTACACGGGGTAAACTTTTGCACTTACACACTTCGTGCAAATGTCCTTTTAGTTGCCAATATGACGCGGCAGGGTACTGTGGCACGTCTCCACTGACGGAGGCACACCCTCGGCTGGTTGTGAGTGCGCACCGTAGTAACCATGTTTTATAAATTGCAAACCTTTTTAGGCCACTTTCGGCGTGCCCTTTGCTGAAAGAAAAGCGCCTTATGAAGCTCACTCTGCACGGAGAGCGACAAGACTGTTCTTAGGCCTAACCACTTTTACGATATCACTGTCCGAAAGCAGACCACAGACGACAGCATGTTTCTTAACATCAGTGCATCCAATGGGTGAAGAATGTCCGGGGCTGGGCAATTCCTCGACCCAAGCTTCGTCAAGTGTGCGAGCCGCTCGGTTTCACGGTTGATCACTTCCATAACTACGCACTTGCAGCCATTACAAGAGTGGCTTGGCTTGGCTTGACTTGGCCTGACTGCTTGACGGCAGAAGAAAATTGGCTTGATGGGCTTGGTGGCTAGCTAAGTTGGACGCAGTTCAAGACTCGCGAAGCCAAAAATTAAAGGTGTATTCATTACACAAGGGAAAAAAAAAATCCAAATACTGCGGTATTCTCGAGCGCGAAGCGAGCGGGTGACTACCTAGTCAGAACTAGCAAGTGGAAGTGACATAAGAAGATAGGTCACGCTTACGCATACTTAAACGCCGCTGCGTAAATGTGTATTTTATCGTATAAAAACTAATATTTAAATGTTTATCAGGAAAAAGAAAGTTACAATGAGAGACTAATTGTCCGAGAGAGAGTTTTACTAAGAAAAAGTTAGAAAAACGCGAGGGAGAATCATGGCAGCCGCATTGCCAGCGACATAAACAAACATGGAAGCGCCCGTAAATGTGTTTTTTCTCATTGTCCAGCGCCCTGCTGAGATCTCTTTAGCGGTATCTCTGACCGTTGAAGATGGCTATTTACACAATATTTGCCCCTCCAATTCTTTCTAGATGTGTCCCCCAGCGTTCCGACACAGTAAGTGCTTCGTTAGCGCTGGCGGTCAGTGGTGATACGAGTCAATCATGGCGCTAAGCTGCTAGTCACCTGCTAAACACCGGCTAAACTAGCCATACCCCGTGACTAAGATTTGTTAGTCGACTTCTTAGGGCCCGTTCACACTCTTGCGACCGACTTCGACCGAGAGAGACCAGAACGGTTTTTAAGCCTTTTGCGACTTCTTAGGACCGGATGCGATGCAGCGGAGCTGGTCCTAAGAGATTGCAAGAGGCTTAAAAACCGGTCTGGTCTCTCTCGGTCTAACTCGGTTGCAAGAGTGTGAACGGGCCTTTAGTCGCGCCGGGCGACCGGGTCCTAAACATGACCGGCGAATACCAAGCGCTCACTTGGCGGCGACTATCGCTCGCCATGTGATCATTTCAGTCGATGACGTCGCTAGTCAGTGGTTAAACAGGCGCTACCCGCGCTTGGTCAATACGGGTGGGTATGTTTAGCTCAATGCCTGCTAGCAGTCCAGACCCAGGCGCCGAAGTTTTGGAGCTTGCTGTTATACTATTCGAAAGTTATAAGCAATTTTCGGAAGTTTCGAATAAGGAAATGGAGGGCGACAAGGGCCCCGAATGCACAAAGTATAGTGGTGTCAGCTACCGGAAAGGTGCTTAGTTTTCTCATTGGAAATTTTCTACTATCAGGTATAACTTTTTATCCGGATGACAGCAAGCTCTGAAACTTTTGCATGTGGTCAGGACCTCTAATGCAACATTTGGGCAGAGACTGATCGTTCGCCGGTTCATATAGTTTAGTTTTAGAACAGAAAAAAGACTACCGGAAAATCCCGAGACATGCCCCACCCCTGAAAGATAGCTACATTTTTTTAAACTCCAAAAAATAGCCCACTTCTAGTAATAGTAGTGTTAGGATCAATGATATGGTCTCAGCGTAAATGTGGTTAGTTAGCTATGGCAAGATATAAGGGAACGTTGCTGACTGGAAAGTACAGTCTTCTTTGCCCCTCGCCACAACAACAAGCTTGGAAGGGACACATTACCTAAAAGTAGCATTTTTCATCTTTTCTCGATTGTACACTGAAAGGTAGCCCATTCCATATTTTCAGCAGATTTGCTCTTGATTTTAGGTGGGCTGTCTCTCGGGATATTACCATAAATCTTTTTTTTCTAGGGCACTCAGTACTTGCCTCATTAACATTCTTTTAGTATTGTCACCGTTGGTCGCAAGAATTCTTGTCTCGCCGTGTCACGTCCACTTCACTTGTCTCGAAGCAATAGCAGAGTGACGGTATTAGCACAAAAAGCGTATCAGCTTGGAGTGTGTCTCCCTCAGCTGCGAGTTAGGGCTCGTGTGGTTCCGCTTTTGTACTATATATTACACTTCAAGTTCAAACAAGTCGAAACTGAGAGGAAGAGCTTAGGAAGGAACCTCCTCAAAGTTTCGGAGTTGCAGCTGACGTTTCACCGAAAAACTGGACCGCTAATACTCTAGTTACACGGGCACCCTTAACCGCAGTTAAGCGTGACCGAAATAAGACCTAACTACAGTTAAGGGTGTCTGACGGGCATCCTAAACCACAGTTACGCTTAAGTATGGTTAGAAGTTACTGCACACGGGCACCTTACAGTTAAGTATGACCTCAGTCACGCTTAGCTGCGGTAAAGGGTGTCTGCGTGATTAGGGTACAAAAGAATCGGCTGGACAAGTCAGCTGTCTCAGTAAAACGTCTCTTGCCACTCCAAAATGCCAGAAACATAAAAAGAACCTAGAGAAATGGTGGAATTTGAAAACATATTTACTTTAGAGATTACGGTTGCAGATACAATCGTGGACTCTGTTAGCTGTAACACGCCAGCGGCGTCTGTCTCGTACCCCCAACCCCGCATAGCAGCCACTGTCTGAAATTCCGCGCACGCGCCGTGCAGCGGACTCGCTCTTCCCGCCCGCGAGCACACCCTCGCTTTGCGGTCTGCTAGGCGCAGAGCAGATGACGCCACAGTGCTTGCCAATGTTCGCTGAACATGGTTTCGTGGGTGCCTCTTGTGCGGTCGATGATTCCCTGACTCATGGAAACGTGTCTGCAAAACAACCAGCGATTGTAATCTACCGGGATTGCATGCAGCGTCGCTTATCCATCATTGGTCCTATTAGTCTTGAATAATTTGGTTGACTGTGGGCAGCGGCCTGCCAGTCATTTCTGCGATCGCTCTCTGAGAATACTCTTTTAGGCACGGATCGACTATCAGCCGTCTCTGCTCGTCTGGTATCATCGCTATAGCGAACTGGTCTCGAACTCATGCTCGACAGACAATGTTTATTGGGTAGATTGCAGTCATTGTGACATAAACCCTGTCTTACGTTTTTTTATTTTTTTATTTTTTTATTTTGCTTTTTTAGAAACAGGCAGGCGTGCGCAATGCATGCTTCAACAATACGCGTTCGCAAACCAGTTTGAGCGCAGCAGGTGTGATACAGAAATAGATTGTTAACTACAAGTGTGTTCGTGAAAAAAAAAAAGAAAAGTAATCTACCGTGTTAGTACATACAATTAGTGGCAATGATTTATTTCTTTTATTTATTTATTTTCAGAATCCCTAAGGGCCTTGAGGGCATTACATGGGGGTGTTGCTGTAAAATCAGTCAAACAGCTATACAACACAAAGCACCAATACTATACAAAAATGGGTAAAACACACTATGAATCATGGTTAGAACATATTCAAAAACTAACAAAAAAGAGGTGTACTTCAATACATTCAGTGATACAAAAAAAAACGAAGCTCAAAAATGCCAACTACTTCTACAAATAATAATAAAGAAAAAAAATACAGTTTCAAGAACTAGTGACTAAAGGAGTTAACGGGAGAAAAGGGGGGAGCCACAATTCAGTTTCAGTTCCAAAGAGCGAGAAGACTGCAGTGTGGAAGGCAGAAGATTCTGTTGAAGTGGCTATGCATGCAGGTAGCGAATTGCAATCCTTTATTGAGAATACTAAGGGAGAGTTTTAGTATCCCACTGTACATGCAGATTTTGGTAAAACCTTCAGTGCATGTTCAGTAGGGGTAGATATGTGATGCACTGGCCGAATATGAGGACGTGAATGATGAGTCACCGTAATAAAGAGAGTGAAAGAGTGATAAGCGAAAAAACTCTTCGCATGTCAAGATTTAAAAGGTTAAGAGACTGCTTGAGCACGGACACGCTCAGATATCCTTAGCCCGGCAGACACATATCCGTGAGTCAGGGAATCAACCACCGCAAGACGCCCATGAAACAGTTGGCACCTTGCACTGGTTTGCAGAACACGAAAGCGTGTTCAGCAAACATTTGCAAGCACTGTGGCGTCGTCTGCTCTGCGCTTAGCAGACGACAATGTGAGAGTGTGCTTGCAGGCGGGAAGAGCTATAGTTTGCCACACGGAGCATGCGCAGAGTTTCAGACGGCACCTGCTATGTAACGCCAGGGTACAGGACAGCCGCCACTGGCGTCTTACAGCTACCAGAATCCACGACGGTACCTTCGGTCTTTGCATCCCTAGCGAAGCTTTTTGTTTCAATAAAAGAAAGGGAGATGTGGGAGAGAGGCGACACACCTGGCAGCCTTCCCCGGGCGTGCTTCACCGACGCAACGCTTGCAGCCGCATCAACCTAGAGGTGGCACAGAAGATGCACCAGCTGCAGACGGACTTGCTGGTGCTGGAGGGCATGGGGCGGGCGGTGCACACCAACCTGGAGGCCCGCTTCTCGTGCGAGTCAATCAAGGCGGCCGTCATCAAGAACCACTGGCTCGCGCAGCGGCTGGGCGGGGCCATGTTCTCTGTCGTCTTCAAGTACGAGGCCCCCGAGCGCTGGACACAGGTTCGGGTCCCCTCCTTCGGTCGTGTTCTCTGCCTTTGGTTCACTGCTTACGTCCGTGTGCCCTAAAACCTCTTGGAATATCTTACGGCGAGGGAGCACACTGTGGCGCCATCTGTCGGGTGAAACACTTGGCATATCTATATATTTTCGTGCCTCGTTCTTTCTTCCTTGGCTCGAAAATGTTTTGATAATGTTACAAATGACCATTTCTCTTAGGTAGTACGTACATTTGATCTTGCTTGTACCGCAAAACCTTCGCTCTAGTGAAACCAGAGTAGCTGCGTAAACGGTGCCAGCGTGTCCTCTCGTCGCTAGAGATTGCAAGAACTCAGTTGTAAGCAGACGCAAGTATGTGAACGGGCCTTAACCTGAAAGCATAATCAGGAAGGGGGCACATACCCAAAGGAGAGTGTCCCGATAGGGCGTTTCCTAAAAGCGTTGCTTAGGTGACCGTGCTGTACCGTTAACTGCGTTCCCCCGGAAGGTGCTTCCTTCTGCGCGCTGCTCTTTCGTGGACAACCTTAAGAAATCATATGTAAAGCCACGATTGAGCAAATGCTAGCCTAACTGTTAAAGCCCATTTCCTTTTGAGAGTTCTTTTGTCATCCGCAGCATGTAATATACTCCCGACTGGCACAAATAATGTGGCAAATTTTTGGTCGTGCCATTAGCACTTGTTTTTTTTTTGTGCAGGCAGATTGCTGCCAAAGATTTGTGCGAAGGTTGTTGCATCGGAAGATAAATAAGAGGTCGGAGATCAAATATCATCTCCGCCGCTCATGCACCTTCACGGGCAAGCTAACCCAGCATCATGTAGCATTATATAGCCAAGTCCTTCGCTACCTTCCCCCAGCCCAGCCGATAGTGTGTTTTTTACAAGATGTGCTAAGATGTTTTTCATCCTCTTTCCATGATGTGAATTTTGCTACCTTTGTGTGGAATATGGCCACCTTTTACGCTGCAGAGCCGGGATTCATAGTAAATTTGTATTGCATGGGGTACAGTGGGTGTGTCTGCACTGAGCCTTGCTGCATTACTCAATTTGTGTCGTGCCAACTTGCCTCGTGCTTCTAGACACTATTTCTTGAGAAAGTGTGTCTCCCTCTCCCCTTCTCTCTCAAATATTTTTCATGCTTGTTTTTTTCTTTTCAGGAGGCAAACAGAACTGTGGACAGTACTGCACAATCTCACTGACAATGGAAGCGAATGTGTAAAGTCTCTTCCTTTTTGTGTGTGTGTTTTTTTTTAAAGTTTGCTCCAAGCAAAGCTTTTTTTTTGTCGTAGCCAAGCAGGGACGCTAAAATTATAAATTTGTTTTCTTGCTTGCTTAAAATTAGCTTGCAGGCCAAGAAGGAAGCCTTTGTAAATATGCTGTACAGAATGCCTTGTTGTACATATGACCAGCATTCAAACCACCATGTGCAAGTTTAATAAATTGAGTATGGTGTTAATAAGAGAAAGTCGTTTTTACTTTTTTTACTGTTGTCACTGTCATGGATATGTTCATAGTAAATTGCATTTATTAAAAGTAGGTAAGGGCCAGCAAGTATATAATTTAATTTGGGCCTTGTGCTTCATGACTAACAACTAATTTTATTTATTTGTTTATACTGCTAGCATTCTATATAAATGCCAAGGCAGGAAATACAACAAAAGGTAAAACAGATTATAGCAATGCAGTGCAGGCAACTACTCGACCAAAAGTGCTTACCGTAAAATACCGAGCATGCGCCCGCAAAAAAAAAAGGGGGATGGGCACATGTAAGGCCATCAATTTTACATATATATTTACTGTGCGTAAGTTTTTCAGATGTATAAGATTTTGGGGGTGCGTGCTTAGTGCGGAATGGGCGGATGCATGGTACTCTACGGTAGGTATTGCATCGTTAAATGGATACCTTTCCAAAGCAGCTAAAATTGAAGGAAGTTTGATGTGTTCCCAACATGCTCAACAGCATGCAGAATATGTCATCTGGATGATTTATACCTTCCCTGGTAATTGCATATTCACATGACTGAAACTGGTGTAAATTTCAAGTTTGCATGTCTAGAATAAAAGGCTTGAATGCAAGAATTGCATTGTGTCAAGTGTTTATTTCGTAAAATTTTGGTGTCAAACTAGTTTGAAAACTGCAAGATTTTTAATGGTTCGAGTGACAGTAAATTAAAATTTACATGTATTTGTATTGAAATGTTTTTCGAAGTTTTGAGTTCAAGATGTCTTGTTAAAAAGTATGACAGTGTTAAGGGTGAATGCTTTGCGAACTACCTCGCATAGGTTGAGCTTTTACTTTTCTATGGTCTATAGACCAAATTCTTCAATCCAAAAAGATTTGCAAATTTTGAAAGTAAACATTTGCATAAAATGTGCACTTCACACAAACGCTTTCATAAAATTTGTGAATACCACCACAAGGTAGATGGAATGTTGTTCAAACAATATGTGCAAAGTAATAAATATTTAGCAATATGTAGTTATTTTAAATTGTTACAAGGGATGAAACTGCTGCACCACTGTGGGCCTAATGACTTTTCATGCACCACACTGATACAAATCTCCAATGAAAGTTCCTTGAAAAAGAGTCTTTTCCCGTATGTTTTTACGTAAAAACATGCTTTGCGAGAGCTCAAGGCAACCACAATAAAGAAAAAAGATTCAGTCGCCATCTTGGCATCTCAAGCCTGGGAGTTTCAGTTCTCTGGGAACATTCAGCGACTAGCAGAAGCCATATAAGGCAACTTTGATGTTTCAACTTGTCACTAAAAGGTGGTGCTGTTATCATATCTAGCTCGGTCTTAGTGGACACCAGCGTCCCAGGTTTCAACGGTAAGTTTCCCAACTGAGTGTTTTAGCGACGTTGGTGGACACTATCGAATGAGATACTCTCGAATCAATACCAGCAGCCTTGCAGTTCCCCAAGTGGCCGCTGCGGGAGAAATGGCGGCGTCACGTTAGCCATTAGTTCGGTTTTCAAGTACGGATTGGGGGGGGGTGCCACTTCTTCAGAGCAGGCTCTATGGCAGTTTCCCAACTGAGTTGTAGTAACGTTGGCAGAGGCTAATGCCGGAATTGGCTCCGAATCTAGAAGAAGTGACGTGTATCCGTGACCAATGGACGAATATTCCCAATATTTGCAACTAAAAAGTTAATTGAAACTGCTGTTAATTTAACATCAACGCTACTGAAACGAGTCGGGAAACTTCCATAAAGTCTGCTTTGAAAAAGTGGCTCCGATCCGTAGTCGAGGACCGAACTAATGATGATTGCAACGCCGCCATTTCTTCCGCAGCGGCCACTCCGGGAACTGCACGTATGCAGAGAGCGAGCTGTCTGCTTCTTGCCCAGGGATTGCGTTGACGTCAGAATGATGTTGAGCTCTGATTGAAAGGATAGTGGATAGACCTCGATACTAGATGCCTTGAGGTCCACCATTTTTTTTTCAATCGGCCCATAAGAGCTCGGCGTTCTGACATCATCGCAACCCCTGTGCAAGCAGCAGACGAACTTGCACTCTGCATTGGTTCAAGTCGTGGGAGGGCCTCCGACACCCTCTCGGAGTGCGCAAAGTAGCTCTATAGATCATCTTTCATTGTTTGACTCATCGCTAAAGGGCGGTGCTGTTATCATATTTAGTTTGGTCTCGCTGGATGCGAGCGACCCGGGATTCACGGGCGAGTTTCCCAACTGAGTGTGTTAGTAACAACGAAAGTAATCCCTGGAGAAGGGGGACAAAGGACAAACACAAGTCTCCAAACATATCTAGGTAACTTGTGAATGACCGAAAAAGTCCGCCTGGTCCTGGCATCAAACCAGGCACCTCTCCATTTCCAGTGCAGCGTTCTACCAAGTGAGCTATCCAGGAGTCGGACGTCGGTAGAGCAAACGGGTTTTATCATCTGCCGCCAGTCTAACACCAACAAGGGTGAATGGCCTGCATTTTAAGGTTATGATGATAATGCAAAGGTGCAAGCGAGCTGGACAAGAATTATTCTTGCCCAGCTTGCATCTTTGCATTAATTGCATTATCCTCATGTTTTAGTAACGTTGGTTCACATGAAGTTATCTGCATGCCATATTTTCTTTAGTTTTGAAAACCAGGTGACGTTTAGCCTCTATTTTAATTCTTAAAACTGGTATGCTGCTCTCAACTTGCTCGAAGACCTTGTTTTCTCTTCTGTCGGCCTGCTCCAAACGGCACTTTTTTCTGCTCCCAAGATTGCTCCAAAACTGCTTTGCCCAGTTCCATCCCTGCGTTATTAATGACCCAATTGTCAACACTCGACCCCAACTTTACTGTGTAATTCTGAGATACCAAAAAATATGCTGGAATAGATCCGTTCATATGGATATTGATTGTCCACAAAAAAGATGGCTGCGCTGTTGTTGAGACTAGAGTCGAGAGGAAGACCGCAGCCTGACCGTTGCCCCTTTTTAGTTGAGTAGTGCACAATCCAACAGGTAAAAACGATTTGATTTGAAAACAAAGACAGCAGTTAGCGTTCTGGAAAAGGTCCGAGCGTGCCGATAGCACAGTAACAGAAAAGTCGAGATGAGAAGACATTTGGACCGCTGTGCTTAAAGGCCCATTCACACTCTTGCGACCTCTTAAAACTGGGTTCCTTAAAACCTCTTACAACGGATGGATAGATGGATCCAGTGAGCCCTTTGGATCGGGCGGTAGCTTACACCACCTAGCCATTTGTTTTAACAACGAGGACACACTGGCGCCATCTAATGGGTAGCGGTGTAAACTCCTGGCACACTGCACGAGGCTAGATGACCAAAGAACACAGCTTCGTGCAAGGTACACCGCCCTCGGATTACCTTGCAACACTGAGGAATGCTACGGCCAAGAAGACCCAGTGCAAACAACGACAGGCCGCTCTGAGGCACTTTATTACTTTCTTAGGGGTCACTGGCTTACTAGAACTTCTGTAGTGCTACTTAACCTCCTGTAGTGTGACGAAAGGCCGAACAGAAACAAAGGTGCAGCACTACATAAATACGACAAGCACAAAAGACAAGATTCTCAGCACACGACTTAGTCATCTTCGCACCCTCCTGCCGGACTTCCGAATCTCCAGAAAACTGCGTTGCCGCAGGACACCAAGAGGGCACACGCCACGGCATCGGCACAGCTGACCTCTTTCTCTGGGATGAAGATAAATCACGATCATACCACCTCTCCAGCGGCTTGACGTTGAAGTGTTGGCGGTTCTATTGATTGTTTTATTAAGTGTGGACATTGAACTTCTGAAATATTTTTTACCTTACCAACTGTCCCTGCATACTTTCCAAAAAAAAGTAATTAAGATACATTGCAAAACAAAAACAATCCTTTCTTTCTTGGCCCGAAAAACTTTTGTAAACGATATAAACGAGCCTTTCTTACAGGTATTACGCACATTTGACCTCAAAAATCCCGCAAAACCTTCGCTCTTGTGAAATGCAGTTCCAGGGTCACCGCATAGATGCCGTCGGCAGGCCGCCGGCGTAAACGTTTCAGGGATATTCACATTCGTACAAACTTCCTAACAAAACCACCGTTTCTGAGTTTACATTCCCGGTGCAGTCTCGGAGGAGATGGTATTTACCCGTTTCACCTTATGTAGGAGTCACGGTGTAGTAGGAGTTCAGAGACAACCACGGGCAGGGGGTGACACGCACAGCAAAATAAGCTCCGGTATAAGCTTGGGCGATTTACCTACACCTAGTCGCAGACCATAATTAATTTATCTTCGAAATAATTTCGGCTTCTGCCACGCCTATCCACAAGATGTTGCGTTCGTCGTAACCGTGCCAACCGCGCGGCTCTGCCGCTCTGCCATGCGGTAGGAAGTGGCTCACGCGGCTCGTCGATAGTTTCGGTGTGTCACATCCGTTTAGTTGCTGCTGTACAAACTCAATCAACTCCCAACTCCATTCCCACACTTTCTCTCTTCGCGGTTTTCTCCACTCCGTTTGCACGATTTCGTCGTCCTCACCAGTCCTCACCGCCGCCTGCTGCCACTAGCTGCCACTGCTGTCGCCATTTGCGCCGCAGCGCCCCTTCCGGAGCCTTTCCGAAGCGGCGCCGTCGTCAGTTTTCTTATCCCCTTGCTCTGATCCTAACCTCGTTTACGTCCGTTATCTTTATAATTCTGGTTATTTTAGAGTAACAGATATGGTTACTCACTTGCAGCATGCTTTTCAGTTGATCTTTACCCTAATTACAGTGCGATACCCATCGGCAAACTTGAAGCGAGTGTCTTAACTCACCGCGCTCATTTGTTACCCCATCTTGAGGTGGGTCCCATTTCGACCCTTATGAAGGCATACTTACCTGGTGCCGGGGCTACCTTGATCAGCGAGGAGGTGCCTCCAGGGAGAGGCGCGGCCATTGCACCTCGGCCGTGCTGACCCCTGCCACTATCCCAAACTGGGACAGATGGGGCATGCAATTTTTGGTAGTGGGG